AGATACATAGGCAATGACTGTATTTTAAAAGTATTTTCAGAGACTGGAGCAATGACTCAGTGGTTAAGAGCACTGGCTGCTCTTGCAGAGGGAGGACCCAGGTTTGATTCCCAACACTCACATAGTGGCTAACAACCGTCTGTAACTCCAGTTCCAGGGGATCTGACACCCTCTTCTGACCTCTGTGGACACTGCATGACACAGGTGCACTTACATGTAGGCAATACACTCATAAACATAAAAATAATAAAATATAATAATTTTTTAAAAAAACTTAAAAAAAATAGTATCTCCAAAAAAGATATCCATGGCCTCTTTGACCTTCTTTTCCTGGTACACAGCTCCTTATAAGCAGAGTGCCTTTCTTTATCTATAAGCTAAAATCAGCCTGGCACTGCTCAGCTTCTAGGCTTTAGTCTGCTGTCTAAGGACCTTGAATGTCTGGTGCCCTGTTGAAAGATCCTAAATTTTCTGGTGAAGAGAGTCAGTTTGATTTCCTTCAGAGAAAATGTGTCAATTCTTGGAATTGTGCCTGGCTTGTTACTCCCACAACTTTGTCAATGCAGATATAATTCTTTCCCTACCAACATTCCAAGAGGTTGTTCCTGCAGGAAGAAGAAAGGAAAGAAGGAACAAAAGAAAGAAGGGAGGAATGAAGGGAAGGAGGGAGGGAGGAAATGAGGGGGAAGGAAAGAAATGAAGAAGGGGGAGGTGGCTAGTCACCATCAGGAGCTATCCCTGACCTACCAGGGCACAGCCCCAGCTGGGCTGCTGGGTGTCCCAAAGCTCTCCATTGAACCAGGGACAAGAATAGGACTCGAAGTTTAATTAAAAACAGGGTGCCTCAGCTAGATCTTACTCTGACATTACTGAAAATAAAGTAAGGAAGTAGCCTGGTCTCTTCACCGTTTAATCCCATTACATTTTGGGGAAATGGAGTTAATAGAAGAAGACATAGTTTGCCTCAGATCACTATTAGGTTGTGTCTTTTCTCTCTGTGTTATAGAGTCCTACACTGTGAAGTTCAACAGCAGTCAGCTTTGGTTGTTCATGCCTTGGAGAAAGGGAACAAAGACATAATTCCCCAAGGGTGGGTTTGCGAGACTGTCATCCACTTAATTCTTGACAGCACTGGGACTTGTCACCACCTCGGCTTACTGCTCTAGTGCCACCCACTTATAAACTTGGTTTGGAGAACAGTCCACTAATCCCTGTTGGTAAATTGGTGCACATTCAAAGAAGTCTAATCTAATTGCCATGAAAAAGCCATTTGGAAATGTGAGCAGTTTAAAGGAAGCCCCTCCCCCAGCCCCCAGTGGACTCAGATGTGGCACATCCATGAACCTAGTTTGCAACTGCTGGTTATAGTCTGTAAGCCCGTTGCTACTCTGTGGGGCTGATGGGCATGGAGAGAGAGCTGCTTGTATGTTGGTCCCATTTCTCTGAACTAGCTCTACTCTTGTGTCCTAAAAGCCAACCACTAAAGCTCTGGTAGGTTCTGTTGTGGGTGAAGTTTCCTTTACTGTCATGCAGACATGTGTTTGCCCCATTTTCAGTCCTTTGTTAACCAGGAGTGTTAAAGAAATGACCTGTGTTATTGCCACTTGATTTGGCATCACAATCCCAAGAAGGGAATTTCATGAGTCCCAGAGTCTTTGAGACTCAGAGTTCTTAGACATATCCAAGACCAGGGGATTTTAACACGCCACCAGGGGAACTAGAGGTGTCTAGGTGAGGGCATTTATGACAATGATTGAGGACTTGACCCATCCAAACAGAGGTCTGGGTCTGGGTCTGGAAAGTGGGACACCTTGGGGCTGCAGTATGGTATTCTTCCTAGTTTCTTCTTCTAAAAGATGGGTAAGATACAAAAGAAGACAGAGCCTGTCAGTCTGCTTTGCCTCTTTAATCCTTGAGCTTCTTCATGTTCTTGCTCCATTGTCAGTCCACAGGGAGGCCTGCCCTAACCCTCCTGATAAGGCCTGGTCTGCCCTGATACCATCTCATCAGACCACAAGTCCTTATGCTCATCCTTCTGATTACTTTAGCAACGTCTGCCTGCCTTCATTCACAGTAAGCCATGTGAGAGCAAAGACTGGGTCAACCACAATGCCTGGTGCATAGTAATTGCACAGTACACATCTGATGAATGAGTGAATGGATAAATGAGTGAGAGCTGAGGAGGGGAAAAACGAAGAACAGAGGTTGGCCTAACAGGAGTCCATGGATTAGCTACAGATCACAAATCTTTAAAATTCTCTGGTGATGCATGTGTATCCATAGGGCATCTGTACAGTGTCTAAGGGGAGAGGCCGGAGCTGTTGGCAGATTCAGAACCTTTAGGGAGTTTTACATGAATATATATATAAGCAAGAGGATTTAATTGTTTGCGCAGATGAGGCTCCAGAGAGAGAGAGAGAGAGAGAGAGAGAGAACAGCAAAAGAGGGGAACAAAATATGAAGCTGAAAGGTGGAGCTTTTTAAGGATACGCGGCAGCATAGGAGAAAGAGAAAGGCAGAGAGAAGACGGGACAGAGAAGAGCATGGGGTGGGGACAGTTATTCCTGAACAAATTCTCTAAACTTAGTGAGCCCAATGCTGTACAAGACCTTGCGTGGGCACTATCAATGGCCCGATGAGTGGCCAGACATGACAGCCACAATCACATCTAGAAGCAGAGTGTCTCAGCTAACTACAGTTCAGGGTCAGGGGAATGAAATGATTCCAAAGAGGCTGAGATGGAGCCATTTGCTAGTGTGGACGAAGGGAGATGGAAGGCAGGGAGACAGAAGAAAGGCTTCCTGAGGAGGGCCATGTTTCCTTCTGTCCTTAATACATGTACAGGGTTTCAAGGAGGAGGGAAGGGGAACAGGTGAGCACTCAGGTGAGAAAGCAGTGTGAACAAAGGCACTGGCCCAGGAAAATAAAGCACATGTTGGACAAATTGGTGGGCTCCTGACAGCAGCCTGGGGAACATCTGGCTGCAAGAGGCCCATGGGACCAGTCATGAACACAGAGCAGGAAGGTGAACTTCCAGAGGCAAAACTAACTCCAGAGGAACACCAGGTCCAAAGAAGACTGACGTCAGGCAATTACAGACTGCTGAAGTCTTCTGGCAAAAATAAGCTCAGCATTTGTACATAAATGCTCTCCTTCCATACTACTACAAGTCTGAGATGGGCCAGTGCTCAGCTCACCCTAGAAAGAGGCTGTGCTGGGGTAAACTGGTGGGGTGGTGGGAGATACAGATACCTCACTGTTGTTGCCTATGAATTCAAAAGAGATGAAGACAGTTTACGTTTGAAGTCTGTGTATGCATGTGTATGTATGTGAACGTATGTGTACATTTGTGTGTACATGCCTATGAGCATTGTGTTTGCCACTGGTTCCATTCCACCTTGGTCAGGAGTTACAAAGAGCTTTCTGTGTCACAGAGAAAGCTGAGGCAATGTGTCAGGCCCTAAGACATTGGCCAGTATTGAAAGTCTCCTGCTTCCCACTTCTTTTATTGAACATTCACATGGCCCCATTAGATCTCAGAGCTTCTGTTTTACTTCATTGTAAAAAGAAAAAGCCCTGTCTCTGTGGCTGACAGCTGGGCATGTGGCACTAGCTCAGATGGTGGCACAGAGAAGGGTAGCAGGGACAGCTGATGGGGGTGGAGGAGAAGGGCCGATTAGGGCTCTGCTTTTGCCTCCAGGGACACTTCATGGCTGAGTTTATCCAGTGCCACCCATCACCTAAAGGACCATGGCACTGAGACTAACCTTCCACCTACAGTGATTCACTGGGAAGGCAGGTCTGGAGTTCAGGAAGGGCTGTGGGTAGGCTTCTGACAGACTCTGGAGCCAGCTTCAAGGGTCTCTGAGGGCCTCAAGGATCTTTGAGGGATGGGATCCACCCAAGGGTCACTGTACTAGATGAATCCATCTTCGATTATTTATTGACTGGGATTAGAAACATGTCTCCTTTTCCAAGAGTATTTTAGAAATTTCTGACAGCATTGGCATTCAATAAGCATATAGAACAGTGAAGCTTAAATCTTAATATCACATTTGGTCCCACATTTCCTCTTCTCCTTGGTTACCTTTCTTTCTCTGTTCTTTCCAGTTGCCCTGTTGTACCCAGAACTCTAGAACTTTAGCAAAACCAATTTTTTCTTACAGTTTTTTTTTTCTCCAAAGTGCTAAAGTGCCCAAAGTGAATTTAATCAACAGATTTATGATCTCAGGATCAAAACAATGGCTTCATCTTATTATTCCCAAATACAAACTATTTGATGAGTGGATTCTTCTAAGCCTTTGCTGAGTTCCCAGAAAGCCGTGGGTCTGGGAGAGACTCTCAAAGTTCCACTTACACAGTCTTTCAGTAGAATCTGCTTTTGCTCATTAGATTTCACAGATAGATTCAGTCTATCTTAGTCTGTGACTGAAAAGTTAGATTAGTCTAAAATCTGATAGCAGATGGCTTCCCTTCAGGGCTACCTGGGATCTTCCAAGGAGTATGAACGGGCTGGTGATGGGTTGGATTGGACAGAGAATGTTGGCCTAAGGGAAGACAAGGGCATGCATTTACAGACTGGTGTCTGTCATCCTTTGAGGGTCTTGTGCCTGGAGACTGTCATCTATGAGGTAGAGTCTTGAGCAAGACAGCATCACATTGAGCTTGTTAGAAATACATAACTTAGCCCCACCCTTCTCCCCTAGCACTGCTTGGATTTTAACAGGAAGCCCTGGGAATTCCTATGCACATTTAACATATCAGGAACAGCAGTAGTGGGGTTTCCTGTCAGTTGTCACTGCCCAGGGTATCATTGGTGAAGAGCAGGCTCTGCTAGCCTCACATCTACCAAGGACTGTGCTTCGTAACAAAAGAGCAGGGACAGACCCAGCTCCACTGGAGGCACAGAGACCTTCCCTTTACTCGGTATTTGCTTAGTAGGGCTACTGCAGTTTTAGTTGTGTTTCCATATATCACCATCCTGTCGCTTCTGTCTCTAGGCAATCTACAAGATGGTTTCCTCCGTAATGAAAATGCCTGAAGATGAATCAACCCCAGAGAAAAGGACAGAAAAGATCTTCCGCCAGATGGACACCAATAGAGATGGTAGGGTGCTGCAGGGCTTTGCTTAGGCCGGGCTACTGTGGAGTCCAGGCAGGGAGGCTCTGCTAGAGGGTAAAATGTCAGCCATAGGGACCTGGCACAAGATACTCTGAGAGCCACCCATCCCATGTGCTCTCAGAGCATCTAGAGAGATGGTCCTAGACTGGAGGAAAAGCCCTTCTATCTTCCTTCTAGTTATCCTCTACTCCTTCCCCAGAATAGGATGGTTCTTATGGAGCAGAAACAGAAGGACCAAGAGGCCACAGTACCAGGACAGGCTGGAGCCCTGTGGCCAGTGAACCAGAATATGGGGAAGGGCTTGTACTTGTCATAGAGCTCAGCATTCACCCCAGCCTATCCAAGGGTTCTTACTGGGATCTGAGCATGCTATAAAATGTTAAACCAAAGGGGGCCCCATTAGACACTGGGGATTGGGTGCATAGTAGGAGTGGTCAACAGGTTCCCACCCTGTGGTAGAGGGTGCCACCCACAAGTGAAACCTGACAAGAGGATCCAAACTGTGGAGAATACTGCACTTCTCATGAACACCCTGCTCACTTGCACAGACTGTGTGTCAGGGCTGATTCTCAGGTTGTCTTGCTTGTGGAAGAATATTTTTCAAGTCAGAGGCTGCCTATAAGAGACTCCAGAGGGTTCAGATGATGCCTCTGTTTACTTTCCCTCATTCCCACCTGAAATTCAGGTTGGATTTCAAACAAAACAGCAAGCCTGGCATGGTGACACAGGAGGACCACAAGCTCAAGCCAGCCTGGGATACATAGGGAAACCCTGTCTCTAACTAAAATGCTTTCTGGATGTTGGGTTACCAAATAGAATATAGGAGGCCCAAGTAATTGAATTGGAGAGACCGTGACTTAAAAAAATATATTTTATGGAACTGGAGAGATGGCTCAGCAGTTAAGAACACTGCCTGTTCTTGCAGAGGTCCTGGGTTCAGTTCCCAGCACCTACATGGCAGCTAATAGCCATCTGTAATTCCAGTTCCAGGGGATCTGATGACAAATGTTTATGTGTATGTGTGTGTTGCCTGCATGTATGTAAGTGCATCTGTTTCATGCAATGCTCACAGAGGACAGAAGAAGCCATCGGATCTCCTGGAACAGGAGTTATGGACAACTGCTAGCTGCCATGTGGTGCTGGGAATTAAACCCAGATCCTTTACAAGAGCAGTCGGTGCTCTTAATGCTGAGCCTAGAAACAGTGTCTTTTTTAGACCATAAGTATGCAATATTTTGGACATACTTATGCTAAGAAATTGTTGTTATCTGAAACTCAAAGTCCTTGTTTTACTTGCTAAGTCTGGTGATAGTATTCAGAAGTAGTACTCAAGTTCACAGAGCCATGCTCAAGGCTGACCCACGATGCCATGTGCTTCACAGCTTTTTTTTTTTTTTAAAGTGTGTGTGTGTGTGTATGTGTGTGTGTGTGTGTGTGTGTACATGCCTGTGTGAGTTTATGTGCACCATGTGCATGCAGGTACCTGCAGAGGCCAGAAGAGTGCATGGGATCCCTTGGAACTGGAGCAACAGGCAGTTGTGAGCTGCCCAATGTGGGTGCTGGAAATCAAACCCGGGTCCTCTGCAAGAGCAGTAAACACTCTTGGCCACCGGGTCATCTCTCCAGTCTTCTGTTTTTATGGTTTTTATTTTATGTATTATAAATTATATATTGTGTGTGTGTGCATGAGGTGTACGTGTGGGCATGTGTTCCATGGCACATGTGTGGAGGTCGGAGGACAAGTTTGTGGAGTCCATTTTCTCCTACTTTTGCTTGGTTCCAGGGTTCTGACTCAGACGTGGATTTGCAGTAGGCGCCTTTACCCATTGAGCCATCTCCTTGGCCCCAGCTCAGCAGCCCTGCTCTGAGTGCTCTGCTGTTCTTGTCAGCAGTGTACAAGTGCACTCATATGTCCCACGTGATGTTGATGTGTGCAATGGAAGGTTCTCCACAGAGCAGGCCTCTGTCTACACCCACACCTGGGGCACCAGCTCCCTGAGAATCTTGGTTTGCATAGTGTCAGGCAGTTTGTTTGCTGTTTCCTCCACAAAGGTTCATGACACCCTCTTATATCCTGTTTCTCCTCATGTGCCCTGATTCACAGCAAATAGTTTGTTTTGCAAAGATTAAACAAACATGAGATTGTTTTAATAGTTTATGAAATTGCTGATTTTGAAACACAGGTTTGAGTGCTCCAGGAAGGAGGTTAGCTTTGTGCTCTGCACATGATCCAGCCTCCTCTTTAGAACAGGGCTGAAGGATGGGGGACCACCAAGACATCTCCAGATATGTGGGTCATAAGAAACAATAGGATCTCTCCATTGAGACTCTGCTTCCACAGACTGAAGGGCCCTGGCTGGGTTAGCATTCCCAATGTGCAGCTGACTGCTAATATCCTGGGCTTTGCTAAGGAAAGATTTGTTTAAATAAAGTCATAGAGGGGGCCTTCTAGTTGAGCACTCAGGACATTTGTGGCTTTATCTTGGGACTTGGTTTCAGGGCCTCAAGTCTGAGCTCCCTCCTCTTCCCCCTGGAGCAGACCAGGCTTCATACAGAGACTCCTGTCACAGATTCTTCTTGGTTAAAGCTCTCTGCATTGGGGCTGGAGATCTGGCTCAGCCTTTAAGAGCACTGATTGCTGCTCTTGCAAAGAACTTGGGTTTGGTTTCCAGCACCCACATGGTGGCTCACAACTGCCCAAAACTCCAGTTCCATGGGCTCTGACACCCTCTTCTGGCTTCCACGGACATTGCGTACGTGTGGTGCACTTACATACATGCAGGCAAAACACTCATACACATAAAAATAAATTAAAAATGTAAAGCTCTTTGCATTTTACTGCTAGCCTGATGTGGAAAATTTGCACCACCACAGGCAAGCAGCCTGAGAATCAGCTTTGACACAGTCTGTACAAGTGAGCTGGGTGTTCATGTGAAGCACAGCATCCTCCACAGCTTGCCTGTGTCTGCCTTTGAGAGACTCCAGAGAGTTCAAATGATGCTTCTGTTTACTTTCCCACATCCCCTCCTGCAACACAGGAGCACACAGCTTAGATGAGTAGCTAAGGGAAATGCTACAGTGTATAGACCCAAAGCTTGGTGGGCCTGCTGCCTGTGCTTGGATGAGCAGACAAGGCTGGTGTCCGGAACAGGAAGGAGAATGGAGCTGGAAACTGCCCAGCATTCTGTACCCGTTTCACCAGTGAATGGTTTCACTCCTGGGGAATGGGCAGGTCAAGAAAAAGGGCCACTTCAGATGTGTCGGAGATGGGGAAAAGTCTCCCTTTCTCCCCTCCCTACAGTGACAGTGGCAAAGGGGCCTTCCATGAAGACAGTTCAGGACATACTCCATCTTCTGTGGGAAAAAGGAAGATACTGGTGATCCAAGCTACTGAGGAGGCTGAGGCAGGAGGATCTGGAGTTCAAAGGCAGCTTGGGCTACACAGTGAGACTCCATTTCAAAAAAAAAGAAATGGTGGTGGGTGGAGGAGTCTTGACTTCTTTCACCAACCATCTGGGTCGTGAGAGAAGGGTGGGTCACTCTCTGTCTAACACCCTTTATTCTCCTGATCTTGGATGAAGGTGCTACTGTCTTTAAAAGTTGTTCAGAAGGGGAGGGATCTGCAGCAAACCTGAGTACATCTGTTCAGCTAGTGGCTGAAGGGCCCAAAAGGCTCTCTGTGACATCATGGAGACAGCTCATTCTCATGAGCTGATGTTACTCATTCCTCAAAGACTGGGCCCCCTCCAGGACAGGTAGAAGCAGAAGAGCCATCAGGTCAGTGTGATTTAATACCCTCTCCAAGTCTGGGGTCTAGGAAGTAATGCACTGAGCCAGGTGGACTGTGTCATGGTGAGCAGAATAGCAGGGTTCCTGACTTGCAGCTCTCTCATTGAAGAGATAAGTCACCTGGGCTCTGTCTGGGGAGACCATGGGCAGGTGCTGCTCCCAACATTCAGTGCCAAGAGTGTGAACTCATACAGCTGCCACAGGCCACCACTCACCGGTCCTCTTGCTTCCTAGGAAAACTCTCCCTGGAAGAATTCATCCGAGGGGCCAAAAGCGACCCATCCATCGTGCGCCTCCTGCAGTGTGACCCCAGCAGCGCCGGCCAGTTCTGAGCCCCACACCCCATGAATGCTAGAGCTGCGTGTATCTCTCCTGGTTATCTTTTAGACTTTTTTTTTTTTTTGCCAAACAATATTGATGGTGATGCTGTCTCCTCTGCCGTCAGATGCACCCTCCTCTGTGACGCCTTTGCCTCTCGCTTCTATTGTCGTGGATGCATTGTGGGAATGCCCAGAGCCTCCTCCCTGTGCTTGTGGAGAGCATGGACAGACTTCATGGTGTTCCTTGTTTGATGACTTTTTAATCAAATTTTTTCCCTTTGATTCTAATGTCTCTGTCTTAAAATCTAAGACTTAGGGGCAAAAGAAGGGAATTCCATCCAGCCCAGAGCTCTTCTGTAAGATTTGAGGGGCTTTGTTTGAAAGACAAAATTCCCCCAGCTGGGTCTATTGTCACCCCTGGTGCCCTCTGGGCTATGGCTGGCACCAGATGCTAGATTTCCTGAGGACACGTTACCCTCTGGGCTTTTAAAGGGAGCTGGGACATGCCTCCAGAAAGCCCACTTGACCCTCTGCCCCAGCAGGCCATAGTTTATAAGCTGTGAACATTTCAAGGTGAATTAATAGAAGAGAGGGGGAAGATGGCTCAGCTAATTTTTTCACAGGTTTACACAAGTTGAGCTAACGTGAGTTTCTTTGAAAATCAAACACAAATGGTAACATATTCCCAAATCAGACCCATCTTGTTGCCTATTGTGATTTATAAAAAGACAAGAATGCTGTATATAAAATATTGGGTGTTACAGACCAAATTAAATGTTTTGCCTTGTAAATGCATGTTTAGTGAGCACTAACACAATCTTACTGCAGAAGACTGTCTTTAGTAGTTTATTGTGAAGCTAACTGCAATGAATGTTCATGTCTTGTTCTAAAGTCATATCTGTCTTTGCACAAATGTATTGGTCAACAAGTATATTTTATATATTGCATAAACACAAGGGATGATGACAAGGGCCCAGCTTTGGTTTTGAAAGCTTTTCCAGAGTCACAGTGACTGGAGACCAGGGCAACTTTCCCAGTATCTTGTCCAACAGAACACCACAGGAGCTACGCATTGAGCAGGGGCCAAAGGTGGCATTTTGTCCCCGGCCCAGCAGCACTCGGCAGTGTGAGACTGGAGCTGTGCTGCTTTCTAAGCAGATCAATGGTTTGTAGACTTGAAAAAAAAAAAAAAAAAAAAAAAAAGAACCAGCCTAGGACTTCCTGGTAGCTTAACCCACATCCTTAGTTGGGTTGGGGAGTCACATCTAGAATGTTCATTTTTCCACACCCCAGCTTGCCCCTCAAAGAGTCAGAGGTAGGACAGCCAGGTAATTCACTGTAAGAATGAACAAGTGTGCCTGTGATGTCCAAGGTCCACTATGGGGAACTGACAGCATTTTCCCTCATTGTGTACTTTGAATGCATAGTTCTAGTTTCAGAAAGGACAACCCACATTTTGAGTTGCTGCTTAGGCTGGTCATCTCATATACACTTATTTGAATTGATGGACAGGAGTAAAAACTGCTGGTCACAGGCAAGTCAAAACCTCACAAATAGCTGACATGGGTGGGGGGGCAAAATATTCAAGGATGTTGCCAAGAGTAGAAGAGGGCATCAGGGGGTCTGTCTGTCACCAACCCACATCCTGTAGAACAGGAACCACAAAAAGATAAACACAACCACGAAGAAAATGATGCTGAGCTGGTTCTCCAGGTTTCCACATAGGACCACCTCCAGGTTCTCCAGGTTTCCACATAGGACCACCTCCAGGTTTCCACATAGGACCACTGTAACTGGCACCAAACACCTGAACTTGTATGCCCACCTCCAATGAACCACTTCATAGGTGAAATTTTAAAAGCTAGATTTTGTAAGCTTTATCTTCCTTGGTGTCCTTGCCTTACATCTTATACCAAGGCTTGCGAAACCTTACGGGCCAAGTGGTAAAGTCTGATTTTGAAAAATGGAACAAATCCAAGTTGTGGAGTGCAAAGGGAGTGATGGGACCCGCACACTCTATCGCTGGTGTATGAGAGTTGTACTCACTTTTCCTGTTCTGGATTGAGGACCGAATTCCTTTTTCTAGTTCTCATTTAATGAGTGGTATCAGTTAATGTTGGAGAAGCCACCTGGGCTCTGCCTTAGGTTGGGCCAAACCCATCTGTTTCCTAGAAACCAGAGCTGGGGTGGGGGGTAGAGAAGATGGCCTCCAGCTATTCAGGAAGGAAACAGCCAGATACTACCTAAAGAACACTGCTGCTCCTGGAGAGTCCCAGAACTGGCCAGCCACAGACGCATCTGTATTTTCTCTAGAGCTGTTTTTCTCTTCCTCCTCCCCAGGAAGGCATCGACATGTCTGATCTCGTGTAGTCATGTTTCACCAAGGGACTGCACAGCCCCTTGACACACAGGTGTGTGTCACTCCTGTGCTTGGCTGGTCAGTGTCTTTGCTGTGTTCAGGGATCTCTGGAAGTGGAGTCTGTTTTGTCCCAAGTAAAGCCAGTCTGTGTTGTCTAAGGGACTGGACTAAATGGCTTATGACTTGATGGATGTTGCAGAATGTTTGACTGTTCATACCTCGTTTAGGATGGGGAAAGGGTGCTGTGGGTGCTGTCCCCACCCCAGTGATACACCCCAGAGGGACTTTCCATAAGTGGATTTAATATGTCATATTATATGGAGTAGTCCCATATCAGTTGATTGTGTAGCTCTTGCCTGGCATTAAAGCATGTTTATTGTTTAATATCATTGTCTGGAATGTGAGATTTTCCTGACTATATTGCCCCAGCTGATTCTGTCTTGGGAGGGTTCCAGGTTTGGGGGTAAGAGAGTGTTCTTTACTTCCTTCCCAACTTGGTCTTCTCTCCCTCCCATTTCCTCTCCTTCCCCAAACTGGAGTCCCAACATGAGGCACAACAGGAGAAATTGAGACAAATTTCTCCTTAGTAGGATCTGGGTAAACCTAAAGAATTAATACAACTGTCTCCCCTCCCACTCTCTGTCTGAGAAGATTTGGCGGAAAGTCTACATCCCCAAACCATTCACATCAAGCTGTTCATATTCTGTTGCTGTGATTGGCCTTGCCTCTGTCCCAGAAGATTAGTACTGTAGGAACAACCTTGCTAAAATGTGAGCTACAGTATGCCCCTCATAGGCCCACTAAACCTGTGCTGTCAGATCTGGATGGGCATCTTTTCCTAGTGCACACAATTGGTCTCTACGCCCAAGCAGTGTCTGAAAAGCATCAAGTCACTCATGGAAGTTGGTTGTGGGAAGGTAACTGGGAGCCTCGCACCTGAGGAGGAATCTGCATACCTACAACCTTGAGATTTTTCACATTTCTAACCCTCAAGGCTCCTATTCCCAGGGCATTGTCCCAATGTTTAGACCCAGGTCAGTCCAAATATTGGGGATGAGGGGTCCAGCAGTTGAGTGGGCGCTGGTGTTCCCTCAGGCAAATCAGAACTCAATAACAACTCTTGGGGATGTGCCACATGTGCTTTTGGGCTTTGTCAGACAGTGCTCAGCACATTCCTGAGTGTTGAAGTGGTTGAAGAAACAACAAAAGCAAAACAAATCCCAAGTCTTGCATTTTCCAATACAGCAGAATATCAGTCAAATCCACTTAAAATAAGATGGTTACATGGTGAAGAGCTAGTCAGGCCAAGGCTGCCACCAATTATTTATTTATGTTAAGCAAAGCAGGTTTCTCTACAATTGAATCTGACTGCACATCTACATCCTGAGAATTGTTATACTAGGCATTAATGGATGGTGCATGGTCCCAGGTATCCCTGGGGATGAAAAGAGAAATGACAATATGAAGCTCACCACTGGGTAGCTCGGAGCACCTGGGCCACAGGGCTTAACTTCATGACTTTTCAGCACTATTCCAGGGAATAGCTGCTATTTTAATATTTCTCTGGGAGAAATGGTGAAAACACTTCAAAGTGCAGGGCAGCTGAGCCTGCCAACCGCAACCCTGATTAAATACTCACCAGTATGCATAAGATTGGGCCCATTGACATTCTGTCATGGTGGGGAAGAGGTCCACAAGACTCCACTCATCCTTGACGAGCTGCTGGTGATTAACAGTTGCTGGGGAAGGGGAGAGATTTCCTTCACTGGGGTAGTCACTGGTAAGTTTCCCATGCTCCTGTAAAAAGCCCCTTACCTAGGCTCATGCATGCAGTTCTAAACTCGTTGACTGCCTCTCTCCTCTCTCTCTCTCTCTCTCTCTCTCTCTCACACACACACACACACACACACCAGACATGAAAGTAGAAGGGGCACTAGTTGGAAAAAGGAAAACGATCAGCAGGAGTGGAAGAGGGACAAGACAGTCAAGACAATAGGGAAAAACGCAATCAAAGTGCATTACATACATGTAGGAAAGTGTCATAATGAAACCCATTATTATGTGTAATTAATATATGTTAATAAAATACCAGTATGCATCACCCCCAACGAAGGCAGGCAGGTGGACAGTCACCCCTCAGGAAGCTGTACCTCTTTAATAGCAGTATTTCATCACTTCCTTGGGCTCATGCTAAGTGTTCAATGGAGACCCCAAACAGTACTAAGTATGATAGTCTTAGAAGTGTGTGAGTTGGAGAGAAGGATTGTCAGCAACAAAGTTGACCTGGAGTGGCGCACTTGATTCAGATCAGATGGAAACTTCTGTCCCACCTTGAATATCACTACAAATAGCTTAGCCTTCTACCAATGGCAAAGAGGAAGTTAATTCTTCCCCAAGGGGTGCAAGAGGGATATTTGATGCCCAGAGACCACAAGGGTGATGTCTATGTTCAGTGTCTTTTCACTACATTTTCCCTCCTTTCCACTTCTGGCTGATTTGTGGCCCCCACTGTCTTTCTTCAAATTCCCGAGTCTCTAATATTAGCCATGTACCCATTCAGAGGAACTCAGAGGAGAGAGAGGAATCTTTAGGGACAAATGGTATCATTTAGGGACTATGGTATCAAGGAAACCTGCTCAGGGATTTCCCAGTTCAGGGAGCATGGGTAGGTACTAAGCATTGTTCACCAAACAGCAGGACCACAGTAGCCACAAGTCAAGGGGAAGAAGTGGAGATGTGTGGAGACCACTCATGCCCCCAAATGACCCATGCAGATAGGTGTGGAGAGCAGCCAGACTTGAGGAAGAAGGAAGACACAGAGAATGATTTAAAAAAGCTTGTGGCCCACTTCTAATCCCATGATCTTTCTAGAAATTTATTTAATAAGCACCCCCTCCCCCTGTCCTATTCTTCCCTGCCTCTGGTGCAGTCACAAAGGTGAGTGGTGCCATTGTGGTTGAAATCAATCAGGGAAGGCTTTTTGGAGGCAAGATTTGAATGCTGTAGACCTGGATGGACAGAGATGGGGAGATGTGAAAAATGCAGGTATGATGCATGTTTGGAAAGGATGCTCTTGGGAGACCACCATAGATACTGGTTGGAGTAGTGTGACTGGCTCTGTAGAGTGATGGTCACCATGGGAGCCCCAATACAAACTGTGATGGTACTCTGAGGTGTGGACTCAAGAGTCAAAGTGTGTGGTGACAGAATTGGAGTTTGAGCCACCTGCTTTTAGCCTCTCTGTAGAGGTGGGTATGGATCTAAAGAGGCAGAAAGCATCCATGGAAACCAAGGAGTGTCAGGGAGAAGTGAGTGGACTGAAACTGCTCCTGGGCTGAGGGACCATCAAGAACAACTGCTCTGGGAGCCTTCCAGGGCCACAGTGGAGGCCTTTTGTTGCCCTTCTGCCTTCTTCTCACTTAAAGACTGGTGTAAGGTGAGAAATACCCCTACTCTGTTAGATCCGGGGTACAAGAGGAGCCTAGATTTTTCCCAAGCCGCACAGAGAATCTTTTCATTCAGGCAAAGAGCACCAATAACACAGACAGCACCAGATGCTGTTGTTTGTTTCACTCGTATGTTATGAATATTTATTTTTTCTTCTTAAAAATGTACAAAAAAATAAAATAACATATTTATAGTTTATAGATTCCCCCTCTCCCATGTACAAAACTATTAAGTTACATTTACTCTTTTTTTTTTTTTTTTTAATGTGGGAGTAGATATATCAGTCTCCCTTTGCTTGTCTTTTCAGAAAGGGCCATTCTTAGAATTTGGCACAAACCCTCTTTTTCTGTTTCATTTTCATGACTTTTAAATATAAAGGAAAATAAACGTTTTGATTCATTTTGTGCTTTCCAGGTTTCTGGGTTGGGACGTGCCTTAGTCTTTTAGGAGCAATTCCAAGATGGCACCCCATTGCTTATTTCTGTTGGTTCCAATTTTAAACACCAGGGAAGTTTAAAGGATGTGGGGACCAATAAGGAAAACACTTGCTTCATGCGTCCCCATCTTTTACATATTACACACAAAAAAAGTTTATCTGGGTAAGTTAATTCAAGGGATTAAAAAAAGGAGGCATCTTTCTGGAGTATTTTACGCTCAGGAAATGTTGCTCAGCAAAGCTCTGCTAACACAGTGAGGGACAGACACATGGAAGTCTGCCAGGAGCACTCCAAGAGTGCAGAGAGAGGTGGGCCTGATCCTGTACCACCCTTTGGTGGCAATGGCCATCACAATGATTGCTTAGGGACTTAAGACAAAAGCAAAGGTATCTCTAGTTTGTCTTCTGCTTTAGAGCAAGACCAACTATTTTCCAAAGACACTGGAGAGAGGAGTTGCAGTCAGGCCACTACAAATTTGTCTTTCCCCAACTCTGGAATCCTGTGCCCACGTGTTAGGTCTGCCAATCATGTTTGGAACTTATCCTAACCCAAGGAGTATGGGCAGTGCATAGAGCAAGAATTCCAATACTGAGTTTGTCCATCTTAGAACAGAGACCCATTAGTACCCAAGATGGCCACCCGGCTGCTGATTCAACAAGTGGTGTTTCAAATGGAGAAGGAAGGGAGCCTGGAGCAGAGCCGAGCCTACGATGCAAAGCTTTGGCACCACATGTAAGGGTAACAAGTCCAGACGTGTCTCAGAAGATTGCCTGTATTATCCCTTAGGATGCTCTTGGGTATGGCATCAACTCTTCATCCCATTCAATTTCTCTGCAGCTTCAGGGAGCAACAGTTGGTCTAAAGGCAGCCTTCTCTTCTGCTCTGGCCTTCAGGGGCAGGTGGGATTGGAAGGCAGGAGCCCAGAGAGCAGGCCCTACAGGTAAGACATCAAAGTGCTTCACAAATAAATCTGGACCCTTACATGGAACCCCACCCATATCCAGCCTTGCTGTGGGATGTGCCCGGCAACCCAAACTCTGGTGCTCAGCCTACCAGGCCACACCCAAATCCCTTAACCAACTACCTGTACTCTCAAAGAGAACAGTGGTACACAGTGGTGCATCTTTTTGCGACGGTTCAGAGAAACAGTTTTCTCCTTTATCTCCCAGGGCAAGGAGCGAGAGGATGCGGCCTTTGATCTCCCAGCCTAAAACTGGTTTTAGAAGGGCCAGAGCTTACAGGGCTTTCTCTGTCAAAACCGAGTGTGCAGAGGTATGGGAAGATAACCCCTCCTCTTCCGGTCTTCAGGAACAGGAGGAAGTGCTGCCTGCAACTCACAGCTGAACTGTTGGAGAGGCCCTCGGTGCTGCAGTTGGGTTGTCAAAGAGGCCACGTGAGATGAAGGATGTGCTTGTAAACTGTGAGGCACTACGGTGTCCAGGATTCTCATGACCGCCAAGCAGCAGGCCCCAGCAACAACCCCTATAGAGACTTTCCAGAAAACTCTGGCAGCCCTACACCAACTGGAGCTGTATCTCCCACAATACAGCCTTTCCCACCAAACAGCTCAGAGTTCAGCCAACATATCACCACCATATAAACATGTTGGTCACAAGGGAGAGTCATGCTCCTGAAAAGAAGCATGTCTGGAGATAGGGAAACAAGTCCTCAGGTATGTCCAATGGAGAAGTACATCATGGCATTCACCACAGTCACATGTCACCCCAAAGGTCACTTTCCTAGCTATCCTTGTATTCTGAACAGGTCTCCAAGTTATGTGTCTCCTCCAGGCCACTGGCAGTAAACATGCCCACACACCACAGATAAAATATATTATTGCAATATTATAAACACTATGTACACAGTCCAACATAGTTTGTGTTCCTCCTCACTGACATGGTAGCTGAATGTCTTCCTGTACAATACCCGGTAGCTACTTGCTGGGATCCCCTGGAGGTATTTAGCAAAAATGACCATTCCCAGAGCAACCTGAAGGTTTGGGGCTATTAAAGGGGTATCTTCTTCTTGCCCCTTCTGTGAAGACTGTAGCACAAAGCAGCTCACTTTGTCCATCCACTCAAGAGATGTGAGCAGGTAAGAAAGATGACATACATTGTCCAGGCTCTTTGAGATGATTGGGCTGGCTGTGTTTCCCTTGGGGGAGGGGGGAACTCGAGGTCTCATGTGGAGCCAGCAGTGACCTGTAAAGTCCTGGAGGGCCTAGACTCCAGACTCCTGAAAAAGGTGGGCAATAAATAAGGGCCCAACAGGCCCAAGGCAACTTGCTGAGGGGCTCAGGCTTTAGTTCCATGGGGCAGCAGGTGGTGTCAAACCTATTGACGGTCACTGGGCCTTAGGCCCTAACCCACTTCCCAACAGTCTTGTAACAGCAGTTGTGAGATGGGTGAGATGGGTCTCTCATCTCTCCCAGGAAGGAGTGCACTGAAAGCTCCTGCCGATGATGCAAGCCCAGGGCTCAGATCTCCATGAGCGTGATCTTGAAGCCTTCCACCATGCTCTCCATGTTGAGAATGAAGGTGTCCTCATTGGAGTAGTGTTCGATGATGTTGTCATCCATGTTTACCAGGATGCTATATAGTTGGGGTGGGATGGGTGGGGTAAGAAACAAAGCCAGTCAACAGTAGGCTCAGTATAAGGGCAGCCTGTTCAGACTGGGGGTTCTCTTAACCAATTTTTTTTTTTTTTTTTTTTTTTTTTTTTGAGACAGGGTCTCCCGCAACGGAAGCTGGGAGGGGTAGAAGAGACAGAGCATGGAAAGACCTCTCTGCCCCTTCTAGTTTACCCAAAACAGTTTGAGGAGAGCAGAGTCTCAATTTCTCTGAACTGTCCTCATGACTTCTTATTAAGTAGGATTTCTGAAATCACTCAGCTCAACCCTATTCCTTCATACACTGGCACACTGAGGTTCAGAGAAACTAGCAGAGCCTCAAATCACTGCTAACTACTGACAGAATCACAGACTAGTTAGGCATCCTAACTAATAGCATTAAGAACCACAGCTACCCTCATTTGAACACATAACAAAACAGTAGAAGACCTTGTACCTGAGCTTCACAGCAACTTAAAATGCAAGTTTTGTCATCACTACCTTGCAAATGAGAAACTGAACTCTGCAAGGTTCAATCATTTCCCCAAGTTCAGTCAGCCAATGAATGGCTGAGCTAGGTTTGAAGTTAGCTTTGTCTCACCCTGAAACTCCTCCTTCACTATTCCTTAGTTACCAACCCTTCAGTGGTTTCATTTCAGAAAACCAACTTTCAGAGTCTAGCTGTAGTTTCAAAGTGTATGAGCTAATGTCATTCTTGGAAGTCAGAGGAGTTTGAGTTTGAGAATGAATGACTCACTGACTCACTGAATCATTTTTAGAGCCAGGTGTCATCAGGCAAGATGCTTAGCCTGTCAGAGCTTCAGTTTATTATTTTACAGAAATAAGAACCACCCAAGCTTAGAAGGTAGTTGTTGGGATAAAAGCCTTGAGCACAGGACCTCATACAGAGTCAGTGCTGAAGGGCAATGTTATCTTCAGCAGCACGTGTGTCCACACTGAAGCAGACCTGAGGCATCACTCAAAGGAGTGTCCCAGAGCTACTGCACTGATCTTGGAAAGAATTGGAATATACCCTTGGTGAGTTTCCAACAAGAACTCAAGTCTGATGCCCTCAACTAAGAGGATCCACACTCAGAAAGTCTGAGAATCCCAGATATTGGTTCCTTTATGAAAAGGGTCCAGAGAAGAGTTTAAAGACCCTATTTTTGCTTTTTGTAGGTTAGAAAGAAAAAAAACTCTAGAAAATGAGTCAATGGAGACACTACCCTGAACTAAATCCTGTGGCATCTGCTCCTAGAAGCTCACACAGAGGAAGCCCTCGGAGGGCTTCTGGGGTGGTAGAAGAAAGGAGTAAAGTTCTTGAACTTGGAGACCACAGACCTGGGCTCAAATCTGTGCTCTGTTTACAGAAGATGAGGCCTTGGCAAAATGCTTTAGCAGGCCCTGGGCTTCACTTCCTCATCAGTAAGCTGGATGATAACATCGTTCTCACATACTAGCTAAGAAAAGATAGAGGAATGTGCATGAAGCACTGAACAGGAAACGCAGACCCTCCTCAATCCCCAAAAAGCAGGTCCAATGACCACCAAGAAACATTTCATTAATAATTACTTTAGAAGAATTGTCTATGTCCTCAACCATTGTTTGTTCCTGTAGTAGCACACTGAAACCAATGTCCAGAGCCACATGTGATTTCCTATAAGCTCCACTCTTTACAAAGGGGTGACTCCTCCACTCTTCCCAATGCTCCTACCACCTCAGACCCCTCTAATCCACCTGTAATCCTGTCACTAGACTAGAGCATCTCAGGTGACATCATGACATTGCACTGTCGGTCTCCCTGGAGGATGACACTCCAATTTTATGAGAGATGGGTCACAACTGTGACAGAAGAGGCACTATTTAAAACAATGCACCTTATAGAATTGCCTAATATGGAAGCAAATATGTTTGACTTTTTTCTTACCCCTTTTTGCTTTTCTTGTAAAGCTTTGTTATCTTTTCCACGGGCAGCCCATACTTCTCAGATATCTACAACACCAATAACAAAAGCAGGTAAGCACAGATGAGAGCTCAAGTGGAAGCAAGGGAGCGTTTCAGCTCAGCTCTCTCACACATTTCACTCTGAAAATTTCATTTATAAGGAAAGAAAAGGCTCATTTTCCCTGAACTACCTTCGTGGATTCTCACTAAACAGAACTTCTGAGATCATTCAACCCAAATCTCTGGCTTTATAGTTGGGTAAAATGAGGTTAAAAGAAGTGAGCGGAGTCCAGAATCACAGTTAGCAACTGAAAGAGTCACAGCCTAAATGATTAGGTCCTCAACTATTTTCATCAAGCTATATTTCCTCTGTCCTTGCAAAAGGATAAAAAGAAACAAGAACGGTAGCTCCCTCTGTTGAACGTGTAATATGTGTCATGTGTCGGAGAACCTATATTTAATACCACACTATTTTGAATCTCTCTTCTGACAGATCTTAAATCACTCAACAGAAGCTCAGCTCATTGGGAGCTCAACCTTGAGAAAAGTGATATTTGGGTCAGTTTATAAAAGAACATGGACTCCAACCACAATGTTGGATTAAACAGGTAGCCATAGAGAAAAAAGTTAACAAATTAACTTGGATTCCTCTGCTCCTTACATTAAAGCAAACTTCAGGTGAGCCAGGCATAGTGGCACACACCTGTAATCCCAGCGCTCGGGGAACCTGAGGCAGGAGGACTTTGAGCCTGAAACCAGCCTGAGCTACATGGCACTTTCTAGACCAGCCTCAATATGTAGTGAGAAAAAAATTGCAGGGTCAAAGATTTATATATGAAAGATTAAACCATGAAAGTACAAGAAAAAAAAATGAGTTAATTCTTAGTAGAGCTATCATCTTAAAGTAAGGTGTTTTTAGGAAGACATGTACCTGCAGAGAAAGGTTAGAGCTAACAGCATGGAATTAAAATATATCAGTAGATCAAAACAACATAAAAATCCAAGAAAAAATATTTCAGGAAGCATTTTTAAATTATAAACAGACACAGAACAAACTGCTTTCAGTTAAAAAGAACTCAATGGACAGTAGAGAAGGGAAGAAAACAACAAAACAGAGCACTTCATGGAAGGGGATACAATCAGGTAACGTGCAAATGCAAAGCTGCACCTCACACGTGAACTTTTCAAATTAAAGCAATAATAGGACAGATAGCACTCTTAATTTCATTGAATTTGGGGGAAGAGTGTCTTTCAAAAATTTTTATATTTTTATTTATGTGTATGAGTATATTGCCTAAATATATAAGTGCACCTGTGTCATGCAATGCCCGCAGAGGTCAAAAGATGGGATCAGACCCCCTGAACTGCAATTACAGATGGTTGTTTGCTGCCATGTGGGTGCTGGGAATTGAACCCAGATCCTCTGGAAGAACAGCTAGTGCTCTTAACCACTGAATCATCTCTCCAGACCCTCATTTCACGAATTATGACATTAGGGTATTAAGGCTTTAAGTAATTTTTCCAGGGTTATACTGCTTATAGTGGTAGAACTGGATCTGAACTGGACTCATTAACTACTATATGTTACTTCTTGTCTCAGTGCTTACTATTGCCTAATCTTTTTTCCCTTAATATTGGTGAATGTGACTTTGAATGTTTATAATATATGGTATTTGTCATATGTTCACGTATGGACATCTGCCTACTTGGACTTAAGTTGACTGAGTGCTTAGGGTATCTTTTACCACTTTGTGAAGCTGTCAGAGTTTGGGAAAAACCCACCCCTCTACTCCAGCCTCAATTTCCATATCTGTAAAATGGCCATGCTCACAGCGGTATGGTAAGGGCTCAATGAAAGAGTGCATGTGAGAAGCCCACAGTACTCAAAAAAACGTGTGTGCAAAGTTCTGAGAATACACAGCAGATAGCAAGACACAAAGCCCCCCTGACTTCATGAACTGTGCATTCTTCTGGGGAGGAAAGAAATAATAAAATCTAACAAATATCAACTATGCTAGGGGTTCTGGTTTGCTTTCCTGTTGCTGGTCAGAGAAAAACATTCTGATCAAAAGCAACTTGGGGAGGAAAGGGTTTATTTGGCTTACACTTCCGGGTAGCAGCCTATCACCCAGGGAAGCCAGTCAGGAACCCAAGCAGGAACTGAAGCAGAGACCCTGGAGGAATGCTGCTTACTAGTTTGCTCATTAGCTCATGCTCAGCAAGCTTTCTTATGCAGCCACGCCCCCCTACCTAGGGATAGCAATGCCCACAGTGGGCTAGACCTTCCCACATCAATCATCAATCCACAGACATGGCCACAGGCCAATTCGATTAGGGAAATTCTTCAATTGAGGTTCCTTATTCCTGGGTGACTCTAGATTGCATCAAGTTGAACTAACTAGGCCCCCAGCTTCAAATAAAATAAAGCAGTTGAAGGGACAGAGTGATGGAGGTGCTATTTATGAAAGTGGTCTGGGAAGGTCCATTTGATAACCCATGAGTGCAGAGACCTAGAAGGAGTGAGCCAGGTAGACATGAAGGAAGAGCACTCCTGGCAGAGGGGGCCAGTAATGCAAAGGCCCTGAGCTGTGAGGGGTCTTGCTGGACTCCAGGACAAGCTACAAGGTGCAGTGGTCAAAGCTTGTTATTTGTGAAATCACTAGATAAAACTCAGTCAGAAATGCCAAAATAAATACACAAATGAATAACACCTTGCAACTGCCACCATCCTTTGACTTTAGGTTTAAAGCAATTATAACAAAGTGAATCACCAATGTCACATGGATGACTCTGATGACATGATATCAAATATGCAGTTGAAAAGAAAATGGTCTGTTTCCTCCAAATGATGCCAACTTGGAGACTCTTCAGTAACATCCATTGCATGGAGAACATTTCCCCCATTTTTCTGAGTGCCTCAATCTTAGGAATAAAGATTTCCTACCTGTGACGAAGGCACATGATGTGCAGGACAATCAGATTAGGGGAATCGTCCGGTGTGTCCCACAGAAAGTAGCCCCATTTGGCATAGGTTAAACACTAATTCTGTTCCTCTTTGTTGCAGTTAAGCCTCCAAGACTGTCCAGCCATGATTTAAATCTAGTGATGCCTGTCCAGGTCCCCAAGTGCTCTTTCCTGTGTGTGTTTGTGGTGAGAAGCCAGGCACACTTGGAAATAATATCTCAAGAAAGAGTATATACCAGAGCATCCCAGTGCAAGGGAGATGGCTTGGTGGGTAAAGTGTCTGCCACACGATGGTGAGGAGCTGAGTTTGGGTTCTTAGGATCCACACAAAGCTGGATGCAGTAGTGCATATCTGTAACCTCAGTGCTCCCACGGGTCTGTTAGCATGGCGTGTGCAGCAGTAAACAAGACTCTGACTCAAAAAAGGTGCAAGATAAGGATGAACCTCAAGGTTGCTTCTGACCTCCTCACTGTCAAGGCCTGCCCCCTCCCCACTTTTTTTTTTTTTTAAAGAGAGAATCTTAATTTCTAAATAACAGAGTTACTCCACCCTATGAGCATGACTGACTTACAGGCTGTAGGAAACCCATGTCAGCCACAGGAGCAGTTACCATCCCCAACATGTTCAGGGATCTGCCTGATATGGCACCTTCTGACTCAAATGTCAGTTTGTACCTGGAGGAGGGCTGGGAACACTGTTCCGTTCTTTTTAGAGGACAAATCCACATTTCATCACCAATTGTTGATAGTTTTTTTTTTAAAGAAAAAGAAATTTAAAAATTATTTGAAAGAGACACATATGACATGAAAGAGGGTAAGAGACTGAGGGAAGGTTACAGGAGGATGGAGGCAGGAGGTGAGGGAGATGAAGGTGGGAGAGATGGGGCAGGGAGAGGGGAGTCTACTAAAAATACATTGTTCAAAAATGCTATAATGAGATCTAATACCTCACATACTAAGTAAAAACTTTTTAATTTAAAAAGTAAAGATTTTTTTTTTCAAAAAGGCTTATACTTCAGTATAAATTTTCTTAATATCCAAGTAATATGTGGCTGAGGGTAGGGAATTTGAGTTCCCCAGGAGAAATAAGAGTAGGCTGTCCATGGAAAACAACCCATGTCTTCCTGCTGTGGAAGCAGCTGCATCAAAGGCAGTGTGCCTGCTGTTGTCTGCTCAGGAGGAGTGTGTGCAGTGCCCTTTAATGCCCTTGGTAGCCCCGTTTGTGTGTGTGTGTGTGTGTGTGTGTGTGTGTATGCGTGTGTGTGTATACAAGTGTATTGCTTGCATGGGTGTAAGTGCACCCATGTTGTGCAATGCCCATGGAGATCAGAGGAGAGTGTTGAATTTCCCGGAACTGGAGTTACAGATGGTTGTTAGCCATGTGGGTGCTGGGAATCGAACCCAGGTCCTCTGCAAGAGCAGTCAGTGTTCTTAACCACTGTGCCATCTCTCCAGCCCTGGTGGCCCTGTTTTATAGATAATGTTGAGGCAAGTTTTTCAAATTCTATCAGGTAGGTGTTCCTCTTTCCGCAGGAACTGTGGCACACACACAGAAACTTGACACTGTCCATACTTTCACACCGGAATTGAGAGGCTGCCTCTGGAAGACTGTGAGCCCCTTCCTCAGCAGGACAGCAGTTCTTCCCAAAACACCGATGATAGAGGAGGAGCATCAAGTCAATTCCTAACATCCACAGGGATATGCGTAGGAAATTGCTAACTGGGCCATTCCTTGGCTTAAGAAATACATTTGCAGGGATCTGGTACCCCCCAAAAGTATAAAGAGGTAGCTTATTCCCATCCCAAGGGAATATGCACTTAGGGAAGAATCAAGGTCAGTTCAAGTAAGGATATGCACCAGGCCCTGGCCCTCAAACATTAGTTTGCTTTAATCCAACTAACTGTGCTATTCCTCAGTTACCCCTGAGAAATCTGATCTGAAGGCATGTTGGAGTTCTGGGATGGTATCTTTGAAATGTATATGGGGGATTCTGGTAGGCCCACTTACAAAAGTAAAGGCCTATGTCCACAGTAATTGAGGGAGGAATTGTTTGTGCTCACAGGAAATCATTTTCACCAACTGACAGGGTTCAAATGATGGCTTGACCACAAGCATAATGCTTTTTTAATTAAACAAACTTCCTCGGGAGTTAGAGTTGCTTCTTTTTTTTCCTTACTTGGTAGTATTCTTTTTCTTCAAATAACTTTTAGTTATTATAAAAAAAAAAAAACTTCACACATAATGATATTATTTTGAAGTTGAGTCAAAGGAAAATATGAAGGCCAGGGGTCACACTGACTTCTAGTTTGTGGGGTTAGTTTTCTGTGGGATACTGGACTGTAGGACAGAAAGTTCATTCCTCAGGAGTAGGTGTCTGTCTCCTTTGTTTTAGGGGGACATTGGCACCATTCCCATAGCCCCATGCCTCCAGTGACATTTCATATTAGAGGGTTATTACACAGTGGATTTGTGAACCAAAATAATTTTCCATCTTTTTGGACAATGAATATTTGTAAAATCCAAAATCTGAAAAACACTGTGCTTTTTGGTATTGACTCTAACTCAAAAGGATGGTTCAATAAAAAAGGCACAGTCACCAGCAACTCATGACAGACCAGGGGAGGCTGGAGGGATGACTCAGCAGTTAAGAGCAAAGAGCTCTGGCTGCTCTTGCAGAGAACCCAGGTTTGATATCTAGCACTCACATGGCAGCAAACAACCATCCATAACTCCAGTTCCAGGGGATCCAGTGCCCTCTTCTGACTTCTTCAGGCATTGTACAACACAGGTACACTTACATACATGCAGACAAAACGTTCATACACATTAAATATATATATATATAAATCAAGATATTTAAATCTCCAGAACATCTCAATAAGAGAAATAAAAGTCATAAAATTAAATACAGCATATAAAAATGTTAAGAAAGAAAACAAAAAAAAGACCAGGGCCCAGGCAAAGGTTTCTGCCTATCTTGTCTCACTTAATTCTGACAATGACCCTGGGAGGCAGGCTTTATTATCAATTTCCATTTTAGGAATGAAGAACAGGTTAAGAAACTTGTCCAGTTAATAAAAGGCACAGTCTGAATTTGAAGACAAATTTTCTCTAGTGCCCACTAAGCTATATTATTGGGTACTACATTCATGTGTACTTGGGCCTATTTTACACAAACATATATCACTTATGTATATGCTAATATAAGCACACACATATATACAGTCAGCCCTCTGTAACTACAGGTTCAGCATCTGTAGGTTCAAATGACCAGAGATCAAAAATATTTGTTATATTCATACTGAACATGTACAGACATCTTTTCCTTTCATTCTTTAAACAAGGCTAGCAATTTACACAGCTTCTACTTGCATTAGGCAGTATAAGTAATCTAGTGGTAGTCTGAAATGTATGAGAGGATGTGCAGAGATTATAACAAATATACCATTTTATATAAAGGACTTGAGTACCCATGGAGTATTGGTATTACAGAGGGTTGTGGAACCAATTCTGGGTATAGAGAGATAACTGTATTATTGTATTTCTTCTATATACACATATTTTAAAATATGCATGTATACATATTGATGCTATATATCTATATTACATATACATGCATGAGTATGTTACAAACATACAAATTTGTACTGGTAAATGTCAATGTAATAAAATTTCATACACGGGGAGAGATCCCAACCTTCAGATGACCCACTTTCAGGCAGTACTTTCTTACCCTACCCAGAACCCCAGAAAAACTCAGGGTATAACTATAGCGAGCAAGAGCAAACATTCTTCAAAATATACCATCTTCACTGTGTGCTGAAGTCCTCCTTCAATAGAGCCCATGGTCCTCTGTTACTATCCCAGGTCCACGGCATCCATCTATGGCTCACCACTAGCCTGCATCTCCTGAGGACCCTGAAGGGGCTCTTGCCCAGCTGTCCCATTTGCACAACTCCAAGAGCAAGCAGTAGCTTAGCTTGTGACAGGGCTTTAATGAAATCTTTTCCTTCTAGACTTGAGAAATGAAGCTATATTTGGTCTGAGGAATCTGACCACAGCCAATAGAAGGACTCTAACTTTCTAAGAGTTACAGGCTCAAGGGATACCACACATTAACAATCACCCACCCAGTTTCCTGTCTACCAAAACAAGGTGGATGTGGTGAGCTCCCTCTGGAGGGAATCAAGGGAAATGTCAGCTCAAGTTGCTAGGCTGCTATTGGGGTACGTGGAGGTATTCTACTGGGATCACATCCTCAAGGCACTTGCAAAAGCAGACAGCTGTTACGGAAGGAAAAGAACAGGCACCAAGGACAAAAACAGGATCATAGCAAATCACATCAGTTTAGAACTGGTCTCAATCTACAGTTCCCACCCCTCAGAATGCTCTGAGGAGATATCAAAACAGATTCCTGCCAGGCATGGTAGCACATGCCTACAAATTTATAATGCTAGTGCTCAGGAGGCTGAGGTGAGAGGCTCACCACTTCAAGGTTAGCTTGGGTTACAGAGACCTGGAGGCAGGATTGATTCACAGCTGAATCAACATCTCCAGTGCTGAAGACTAAGAACACTCATGTGAAATGACCTTCAGAAGTTCTCATTGCTGCCACTCTTCTGAGTAAGTCAGTTTCAGCAACATAGTCTTAAAAGCCAGACTAGGGTGTGAAATCATCCAAAACTGTTCAGAGAAATCTGAGTGTTTTATGGGCTCTTCTAGGCCATCTGTCTATCCTCTGGCAACTAAGGTCATTTAAAAATTTTTGGTTCATCACTTCTTAGCCCTTTGGTTAAAATCAAATGTAATACTAGTTCTTTCCAATTTAAAAACCTTTCATTTGTGTGTGTCTGTGTGTGTGTGCATGTGTGTGTATGCACTTACTTCTGGGTTTGTTTCTGCTCTATATGGAATAGAAATCCCCCTCTCCCCGCAATAATGGCAAACACAAAAATTGCCAAGACCTCTATTAGTGTTTCTTAGTGAGTGGGCCTTGCTGTGCTGCTCAGAATGACCTGGGGACACACATTGCCAGCACAGGGGCAGCATGAAGCCCACGATGGTCACATTATACGATGCATTGTTTTTAATTTTTTCTAATTAGTAATAAGTATTATATATGTGTGCTTGTATCTATGTATAAAACAGTCCATTCACAATATTATACAACTGTTTATCTCAAATCCTAAAAACATCCTCATTACTTCCAAAGGAAACCCATTAAGCTTGCTTCACCTCCTGCTCCAAACACTTGAAAACCACTAACCTCTTCCTATCTCCATGGATTTACCTACTCTGGATACTTCTGATAAGTGGAATCATATAATATTTGGTACTTTGTGTCTACCTCAGAAGTTCTACTCAGTATAGACCCCAAGAACTGGAAACAGATGCCTAAACAGAAGCCAGTCCAAGAATGTTCATGGTAGCATTCTTCACAGTAGCTCCCCAAATTCAACGTCCATTAGCTGAATGACTGAAAAATAACATACGGTACCTCCACATGATGAGATATTCAACTATAAGAAAGAATGAAACACTGGTTCACAGTAGAACATTACAACTTGGACAAACATCAGGGAAGAGTATGCCAAATGAAAGAAATCAGACCAGGCCACATGACCAGCAGAGGGGCAGCATGAAGCCCATGATGGTCATACATTCATAGAAACATTCTTATACATTTGATGTTTGTCCCCATAAACCAAGATGTCCAACCAGAGCCATTTTCCAGACCAGTGGTCCACCAGGAGAGGCAAGGGACACTGTGCTCGTGTCACTGTCACTGTAAACTGGTGTCTTCTACATCATAGCTGTACCATAACGTGACTGGGAGAACAGAGCTCATTCTCAAAGCACAGTCACATGTGGGTGAAGGGTATGTAAATAAAATTCAAAAGAACTTTTCCTGGGGCCACACTGAGTAACACTGGTCTAGGTCAGGAGTGAGAGGGAAAGAATCATCTCAAACCACTACAGTTCTACAATAGTCTTTTTCCCTTACCCATACTATCATAGCCAACAAGATACTAAGTTGTCTGTTGTGTGTGTATTTGGAAGCTAAGTGTATCTGATTTGGTTTCATGCAAACAGGCAAATGCAAACTCCCACTTTACCTCTCCACAGCATCTGGCTGTGATTAACCTGAAACTGATGCGAACTTGGCAGTCTTTCCAAGCTTCCTTTTTAACATGGTGATAAGCCCAACACATAGAGGCTGATGTTTCTACAGATCTCAGCTCTTCTTTTTCTTTGAAAAACTCATTCTGGAGCCATCCTGGTGGCTGTACTATACTAAGTGAGTTCTGCCAAGGGGAACATAGCAGGATTCCTGGAGGCTGAAAGGGGCTCATGACTTACCGCTTCCATCAGGCCCTTCACTGTGGGTGACTTCAGCATCAGCGCATCAAACACATCATCATTCTCCTGCCTCACATACAAAAGCACTGGAAAAAAAAGGGGAGAGAGCTGTGTGACCAAAGAGCCCCAGGGAACCAGTTCCTGTCACTTTGGTGTCTGAGGCTGATATTACCTGCTAAGTCTTGGATCCCTGGCCCAGATGTCATGCTCTGGGGTGTCTAAGGTAGCTACGTAGATGTTCTGTGGCTAGAGGACATCTGAGGAGTGACTGGATGAGAAACAACTGGGCAATGTCTACTGGGATGTAAGATGCTCTGACACCCATGCTCACATTTGAGTTTTTCAAGGTTGGCACATGCTCTCTTTATGACTGCTCTTTCCTGTGATCTATTTTTTTCTATTTATACCTTTGTTCATTTTGTAACTATCACTGACTACTCCCTAGGTGCCATAGCGTATGTACCAGGGGATGGAGTGTGGCAGAGATAGCCAGTCTCAGCCCTTGCCTTTAGGGAGTTGGCAGTCCATCAGGAGAGGCAGGCAGACCTCTGTGTTAGACTGCTGTGAGGGTTACAAGACTATGCTTACAGCCTAATCTTACTGGGGTGGGGTGGGGGTGAGTGCCAAGGAACTCTGAGTTGTCAAGACTCTAGGACCATCAAGGCTGGAAAGGGATGACACCAGGAGGGTAGGGAGTCTTGTTGGAAAACCCACAGGTGCATGGGTCTAGGAAGGCAACAGAGCACTGTCTGGGCCAGCAGAGGAAGACCTTGTTGGCTCAGCTCCAGTCACGGCCCAAATTTTCAGTCCTGGATTGTCTGTGAAACAGGGGCACTAGGATCTACCACATAGGATTGACTGAGGTTCTGTGAAATAAGGTCCATGTTGTATACTTAGTCCAGGCCTGGAGTACAGTGAGACCTATTTCCCACCAACAGAATCTATTAGGAAGCAATTGTTCTAGTGCCCTCAGGAAAGTGGGATGCAGCTTTTCTATTCATTTCTCTGTAAAAGTTCTGAATCAGAGAGCGGAGAGGGAAGAGATCATAGATGCATATGGAGGTCAGAAAGGCCAAGAATCATCCCTGGGTTTCATAGACATGACTGCTCTGGCTGGTGCTTGAGCTGGTCTTGTCCTCTGCTCACCTTCTGACAACCATGCTGCAGCTCAGCTCCAAGAAGAACTGGCCACTGTCACTCAGATGCAACCCTGCAGCCCTAGCAAGCTGGCCACTCTTTCTGTCCTCCTCCCAGTGACAGGCATGACTTCTGATTCTTCAGAGGGAAGAAAAAGGGTCAAAGCTGAAACGCCATGCATCTGGCCACTCTACGGAAACTATACAGGTCAAAAGACCCCAACGGGTTTGTATGCCGACCAAAGTCAAATATCCATCAAGCTATAGTCACGACCAACCAGAAAAACAAAGGCAGAGAGGGAAAGTGAAATCAGCTCAAGTCCAAACTCCCATACTTCCCCCTCCATCCCAAAGGCTTCTTTATAAAGACCAAATTAACAAGAATACACAGGGTTCTGCCCAAATTTCTTTTTGTAGCCAGTGAGTGTTGAGTTAGTGTATGAAGGGAGGGGAAGAGAGAAGAGGGGGGAGAAAGAAGGGAGGCGGGAAGACTTAAGTACTGCAGTGTCTTCTCTTTATCAAATATAAAAATAAAGCACCAGTTAAATAAGTAGATTGACTATATCTCCAAAGATTTCCAAATTTAGTTCTTTGGAAACAATATTGGGTAGCTTCCATTTCAGCTAAAACTACCTAGCAACTCAATGGTTATTATAAGAGGAGGTAATGTTAGCAGTACATGAAAAAATAATTAGAACACAGGACCCAGTTATATCCAGATAAGGAAAATTAAATTCAAGGGGAAAAACACACATCACTGGTAGCTGTTAGTGATGGAAATTCTGTAATTTCTTCCCAAAGCTCTCAATAGCAAACAAGAAAAAGAGAGCAATTTCCAGCAGCTGACCCGAGGGAAACCCAAAATTGTATTGGATTAAGATGAGTGCTGTTGCTGTACCTATAAATAACCTCTGTTCAAACCATTGTCTTTTAAACATGATGTTTGGTATGGATGCTCAGGACTGGATAGAAAGTGCTCAAGGTATTCTGGGAAGGTGGCTGTGAAGGTCAGGGACCAGGCAGGGCAGGTCCAGCCCTCCCCTGCTGGGCTTGTTGACAGACATACTGGTGGATGTGCTGGGCTCTCAGTCCACCAGAGGGCTTGCCCAAGGAGTCAGTTTTCATTAGCTCTACTCTGTGGTAAGCAATCATAACAACCACTCTGCCAACAGCAGCAAGTACAACCATTGCACATCCCAGACACTGTACATCCAAAGGCAGACAGCCATATGTGAAGCCCCCAAGGGATTCTGGCCCAGTCACCCTGACAAGTGGCCTCAAAGCAAAACACCCAGTAATGGCTGCTTTGGCACTAACTGCAAATATTGTCTCTTTTGGGGAACTTCTAACAAATAAACAGATTGTCACTGGCCCTGATTTCCCAAGTTCGTCAAGCATCAGCTCAGAGCTTCAAGCAAGGAGTAACTTCTTTGTCCTTTCCAAAGAAAAGTCCCTCTGGGGAGACGTTTTCTTACCACAGATAAGTTAGGATGCCCTCACATGTCTCTCTGACTTCAAAGTTTAGAAAGTTAATTACAGTCTGATATAATTTCTAGTGGCAATTTCTGTGCCAGTTTCATAACTCTGAAGAATAGCCTTTGGACTAGCTACCGGGCACTCACTATACATGGAGGTAAGCTACAATTACACATGTGTGATTCTTATTTTCCTATGACTCTACTGTGAGTTTAAAGTATGAGGAAGAAAAGATGCATGTGAATGAAGGTAAAATATCGATGGTAAGCTGGCAGAGTTAGAGCAATCTGTCCTACCCTTTGACATTGGGACATGCATTGTTATCTACAAAGCCCGTACTTGAGAACCCCTCAATTGAACTACAAAAAACAAACAAAACAAACAAAAAAAGCCATTTAAGTAAGTTTATGGTATTATGTTCGGTCACATTCATGGGTCACAGGTTGGGCACACCTGGAACTTACATGTTGTTAATGCAATGTTTATGTATTTAGTCTCCATCCATTGTCAAGTACTAATTACTCATATGCGACTATGATAATATAACTTACTTAGACATAGACATAGGCCTGTTTTAATAGTTAAAACTGTGATTGTGTATTGCATGCTAGGTTTCAATGAAGTGTCTTATGCATGTTAACTCATGGGTCCTCACAGCAGCTCTGAGGCAGCCCACCTTACAGATGAGGACTCTGAGGAGCAACAGGTCAGCCAAAGGGCTCAGCAGGTAAAGACACTTAATATGCAAGCCTGGTCACCTAGAGAACTGACTCCACAAAGTTCTCCTCTGACCTCTATACACACATATACAACAACAACAGCAATAATAATAATATTTCTTAAAATAGAAAGAGAGTGAAGAAGCAACAAGGTCATATAAACTCCAGGAATCTGAGGCAGGCTTGGGGAGGGGGGCTTAATAACAGAATGCTCATCTTTTTTAAAAAACTTATTTAATGTGTACGAATGTATTGCCTGCATGTATATAAGTGCACCTGTGTTGTGCAATGCCCATGGAGGTCAAAAGAGGGCATTGAATCCCCTGGAACTGGAGTTAGGGATGGCTGTTAGCCACCATGTGCGTGTTGGCAATCGAACCTGGGTCCTCTGTAAGAGCAGCCAGTGCTCTTAACCGCTGAGCCACTCATACTCTCAAGCTTCCTTTCTTATTCTCGGTAAGAAAGCAGTAAGAGTCTTAACAGAGAAAACCAGTGAACTGTGATGTCACAAGAAAGAAAGGTTCATTTATTTGTGTATGATTAATCATTTCCATCTATTGAATGATTCTGAATCACTGGTTCTTGGAGCTGTTATTGTTGAACATGCAGTAAGCTTCTTTTTAACCTTGTATCTTACTGCTGGGTGAGTCAGGAGACACCTAACCATTCTCCCAAGGCAAAGGAAAGAACCAATGCCCACAAAGCATGAAGCTTGCTCAAGGTGTTTAAAAGGACAGATTTTAAGGCAAAGGGGAAGCCTGTAAACTCCCCATGTGAGGAAAAATCCATGGGATTTGACCCTGATCCACAGGCTGTGCTGTGAGTTCTTCATAAAATGTTCCCCAACTTTCACACCAAGACACAATGTACCGGAAGCCCTGCCAGTGACCCCCCAGGACTGGAGAGTTACCTCGCTTTATGTTTTCTTCTTTAATTTGCTTAGAAGGTGTTGGACCAAACTCCTCTTCCATGGGCCTGAACATCCGTTTAACGAGGACACTGCTGCTGGAAAAGATGAGCAGAAATGGTTAATACAGCAAAAGGGAGTCAAAAACACAAGTTCACAAAATCTTGGTCCCTGTCTTTTTCCTTTTTCATACCACTCTTTTCCCTTTCAGGTCCCAGGATACCCCCATTTGAGGGAGAAAACATGCACACAACTATCTTTAGGGCACAGACCTAAGACCTGCTTTGTACTGCTGAATATGGATCCACAAGGTGAGATTTCTGGGTCTGCACCTGTCTCTCCTTTTCTGTTTGGGCTGCAGGAAAGCAGGTGTGAGCACTGGTGGCTGTGTGGTGCCCTAGTCACAGGAGTTCTCACATCTAGCCCAGGCCTGGCTGTCTTGTGCCCTCTTACCAGCCCCTTGGGGAATAGCAGGAACCTCTGAAAATGACATAAGCCCATCCCAATGAACCTTAGTTTTGAGGCTGTCCTGACTTCCTACTATTTCTCAGGCCCTAGTTGGAGCAGATGAGACTGGCATGCTGGGAGGATCCCCAACCCAGCTGCCTAGTCCTTTGCTCTTCCACAGGGAAGACTCTGGCCCCACTTCCTGGGAGACAGTGGTGCTGAGGCCCTGAACATTCTCTGTTGGGTCAGTTCTGATGGTTGACAAATCTCCTGTCCACTCCAGGAACCCTAAGGAAAGCAAGCACTGTTTGAGAAAAGCAGAAAGTGGCATAACAGAAGGCAGAGGAGAAATGGAATTTTACTATTCTTTGGGCTCAAGGACAAAGATCTGTAGGAAATTTTAATCTCTCTGGGGATGTTCTGAGCCATGATGCAATATCTGGCATTTAGCAGAACTCTTAAGACAGGAACTCTGAGGTGAGACCACCTTGATTTTAATCCCTGCTTTACAGGTTACTATGCAAATTTGGACATGCTTCTCAACTTACCCAGGCCTTAGTCACCTTATCTTTAAAAGGAAGTTGTTGACATAGAAATGACAATATTTGAGGAGTTGGATATGTTAATTGCACTGAATTGATCATTACATGTCAAATTATCATACTGTACGCTATAAATAAGTACAAACATTGTCAGTTAACAATTCATTTAATAAAGTTAAAAGGGAAGCTGACAAGAGAACTAAATGAGTCTAAGGCTCTCACAAGAGCCCCTTATTCATGGAAAGCACCACGAAGTGCTAGATGAAGACAAGGAGGAAGACGGTGAGGATTATGGGTCGGAGAGATTTGCAAGAAAAAAATACGGAGACAATTAAATAAGCCAGACAGTTTGAAAGGTCAGAATGTCCATCCAGAGCAAACAGCTGAACTACTACTATGGTCCTCCATAGGAGACTGACATTGTTTGAATCCTAATCCTCCAGAGAGTAAAAAATCTGCAACTCCTGGTGGCCCTACTGCCATCGGAAAGCCATCCTATCACTTCCTATGTCAAGCTAATAGAAATCCAGAGGTATAAAAGCACGTGGTATGTTACTTGTGCACAGTTGAAAAAATATTTCTATTCATTCCAGTAGCTTAATCACTAGACCAATGGTGTTTAATTTATCTATTCATACTCTAAAAGGTGTGTTAATCAATCATATTCCTTAATAACGGTTTATACTTTACAAAGCATACTTCAAACCCTTGCTCACTTAAGTCTCCTGAGCACTCTGTGAGTCAGCCAGAACAAGGACAATTTTAGCCCCAGTGTCCATAATGTCCGAAGGCTTACATATGTTAATGGCTTTATGCAGGATGATATAGCTAATAAGTAAAATGAGCTATTCTGATACTACACTTTTGAGGGAACTCCTCATGATAAAATCTGAAACAAAGGTGAATGCGGGTATAAGAAATGAGATTAAGAGCCAGGCATGGTGGTGCAAGCCTTTAGTCCCAGCACTCGGGAGGCAGAAGCAGGTGGATCTCTGTGAGTTCAAGGCCAGCCTGGTCTACATAGTGAGTTCCAGGCCAGCTGGGACTACAGGGAGCCCCTGTCTCAAAAAGACCAAAAAAAAAGAAAAAAAAGATGTATTTAAACATACTTTCATGTTTATCATTTTATTCAGTTTGGGTCACTCACTTGTATTTTTTTTTTCTCTGTGTCAAGTAATGAAAACAGCTAAAAGAAAAATCTAAAACTCACGTCTTAGGTGAAAGAGGTAATGAACTTCCAGGCACTGGTACCCTGCCTTCTCTTTGCTACTTTGTCATAAGAGCAGGCTATGTTATGTGCTACATCTGCGACCATGGACTCAGGATGAGAAGACTGAAAAAAATTCATTCATACAACAGCGAGGAATGATTAGGCTAATAATTGGTAACTGGCAAGAAATACCAGCAGACACTCTGTCATGCTGTGTGTGAGTTCCTAAGCTAGTGATTTCCTTTTTTCATTGAGCAAGATTTTTCCAGTTCTGTTGACTTTTTAAGAAAGGTTTTCTTTTATTTTTATTCACGTGTGTGTGTGTGTGTGTGTGTGTGTGTGTGTGTGTGTGTGTACATGCCACTTGTGTGTAGGTGCCTGTAGAGGCACTGGTGAGCCACAACATTCACACTGGGAATTGAACTGGCTGCTTCTGGAAGGGCAATGTATTGGTTTGAATGAGGATGTCCCCCAGAAGCTCCAAGCATTTGAATAGTTGGTCCTAGTTTGTGGTGCTGTTTGTGATGGTTTAGGATATACGTACTTGCTGGAGGAACTTTTCTCTTTCTGTTCCTCGTATATACTTGAAGATGTGAATGCTCTGTTTTCTGCTCCGCCTTCCTCCTACCATGCCTCCCCCTTCAATGATGGACTCTTATCCCTCTGGAACTGTAAGTCCAATAAATTCTTCCTTCTATAAGTTGCCTTGGCCATGGTGTTTTATCACAGCAACAGAAAAATAACTAATATAAGTGGCAAGTGCTCTTAACTGCTGAGCCATCTCTCTAGTCCCTCTGTTGACTTTTGATACCACCTCATTCCAAACCACAAAACACTTTGCCATTAAAACAGTATTTTGGATAAACCACATTTCTCTTGAGAGGTCAAACATACTTTTCTATGCTTCTGAATCTATAAATGCAGTAGGAGTCAATAGGTTTTATATGTTCTGAACCATTTCATTTATTTTCAAAGCAAGGCCAGAAATAGCAAACATGGCTTACACACTTGTTATATGAAAGGCCATAGGCTTCAGGCCTTCTGGTGCCTAGTGGCACTGTCCAACACCCTCCAAAAGATTGGAGAACAATGAAGAAGTGTTTTCCCTGGGATCTATCTACATCCCACTGACCAATAAGTAGAAGAACCCAGTGCCAACAGCCTATTCAGCTATTGGCTTGTGGTGCCAACCTAAGGGAAAACAAGTCCCAGCTGTATAAACAAAGGAATACTAAGTTTCATCAGAAAAGTCCTGAGAAGTATTAGGTCTGAAGCAAAGCAGGGTTTAGGGTTATACTTTACCCAGGACTTATTATGAAGCTGTTAAAAGCAAAGAGGTGCAAAGACGCGAGCCAGATTTTCCATAGTACTCCTGCTGCAGTGTTTGCCAACTTCCTAAGTGCCACAGGACAACAGACTATGACAACTGACTAAACTAAGTCAAAGCCCTGACACACAGAAGAGTGAAGAACTTGACCTGACCCCAGACATGATAGAAGTTATGAAAACGTCCATGAAGATAGCACCTCTTCAGGGCTAAGTAAATGCACATGGCAGCCTTGAAGTTCAGAGATCTCATCTCCTCTTCCAGGTACACTCATCTGGACTTGTCACAGTCTTGCCTCCCACTTCAAGGGATGAACCAAAGATGTACTTTCATAAAGGCCAGAAAGCTATCACAATGAGAATCTCCCCTGTGCTTTCTCTATAACCATAGGTCAAGAATTGAGGTGATTGGGCAATAGGGCACAATGGCTAAAGGCAAGTACTGAGAGTTGCAGGTAGGTACTGGTTCAATTTCCACTTCTATCGTGTACCAGCTAAATGACTTTGAATTAGTTTCCTAATTTCTCAAACCCTGTTTTCTCACGATCAGTGCAAATACTGGGAAACTGGGGGGAAATCACGAAAATCATTAACAAAAAGCACTTAATACGGTGCCTAGCTCAAGGTATTTAGTGAGTGATATTACTTTGACATAAAGCAACAGCCAAGCACCTGCCATGTATTAACACTGATGCTCCAATGCTGCCCATATTGCAATGAAATGCTAATTAGAAGATGTATAAAAGTACAGAGTTCAGGTCTCAGAACTCATGATTGTGCAACAACGCATGTTATTGTTACAGAGAGGCTGAAGGTCAACAGTCATCTGGCCACAGTCAGTTGGCAGGGGACACTTTGAGATGAGATAGTGAGGTCTGCACATCAAAGAACATTCAGGAGCTCAGGTACTTCTCACTCATAGAATTCTGTTTTCCCATGAACATTATCTCAGGCACAATATTAAATGAAATGTTAAAGCTGGATAGAATCTAAGAGATAGTTTTATGCAATATCCTCAATGTAAAATTGAGGAAACTGAAGCCCAGAGATCAAAGAGCTTAAGACTCGTATTGATAAATACCAGTCCAGGAGTAGCACATGGGCTTCCTGAGCTCAAAGCCAACATTTTTTTCCATGATGCCATACTGTCTCTTTAAAAGTATGTGGATAGCAGATTAGGATTGATAGTGCTAATCATTTCTGTTTGTTCCAGCCACTGAAAATAGATTATTTATGTATCAAGATAAAAAGAACAAGCTAATTGGGTTTTGTCTTGTTTTTGTTTTTGAGACAGGGTCTTATCATGTAGATCACGCAGGCCTCAAATTTACAATCCACCTACTTCAACCTCCCAATCGCTGAGTTTACAGGCATGAGCCACTGTGCTTGGCTTTCTAATCAGTATTTAGAGAATGTAGAATTCTGAATTTAGAGGTTCATTCTTAGCCAAGGTTCTGGCCCTAACCAGCTTGAAGATCATTTAAGTCCTTTCTGATTCTCTCCATTTGAGTCAGAAGGTGGCAAACTTTCCTGAAAAGGGCCCAACAATTAATATTTTTGCTCTGAAGGTCCTATATTCTTTGCTCAAACCACTCAATTTTGCTGCTATTGCACCAAAGCAAACCACAGACAACACAGAAAGGAATTAATGTGGCTGTGTTCCAGTACAATTTCCTTATAGATGCCTGAAATCCATATGATTTTCACATGTCCTGCAACATGACACTTCACAAGTTTTTTAACTACTGAAAGATATGAAAACCATTCTTAGTCTACTCAAAATCAGATGGTAGGGGCTGGAGAGATTGCTCAGTCATTAAGAGCACAGGCTACTCTTCCAGAGGACCTAGGTTTGGTTCCCAGCACCCACATGGCAGCTAACCACCATCTAGAACTCCAGTTTCAGAGGATCTGATGCCTTGTTCTGGCCTCCACAGGTATTGCACACACAGGTGCACTTACATACATGCAGGGAAAATACTCATACACATAGAATAAGTAAATAAAAATTAAAAACAAAAACCAAAAAACAGATGGTAATCTGATCTCAGACTGTCACTTGCCAACTTCTGCTCTGGGAATGAGGTCAGCAATATCTGCGACACTTCCTTCACCAACTGTGAAATGTTTTACAAGTAAATATATAACCGCATGGGACTACAGAAGCCCAGGTTTGACCATGGTTTAGGGAGAAAATGGTCTTGGAATTTTAGTTACTAAAAGCAAATGCAAACCAAGAACATAAAGTAGATACTTGGAATAAATGTAGTCTCAGCTTGCTTTAAGAGAAAAAAAATATCATCCAGCTTTTAAGAAGAAATTTCCTAATATTACCCAAAAAACCACATGGTTCAAAATACATATTTGTCCTAAAAGCCAATTTTCAGAAGACTATTTTAAAATTTAGTAGTTTTCCAGGAAGGGAAAGAAGATGTTAAGAGGTAAAACTATATTTTAACTAAACAGTCACATGAAGGAAAGGGATGTTTGAGTGTTAAGGAAAAGACTTATCTGGAGAGTAAGACAAGAGTCAATGGGTAGAAGTCAAAAGCAGCTCAACAGGCTGGAGAGACAGCTCAGTGGTTAAGAGCATGGACTGCTCTTGCAGAGGACCTGGGTTCAATTCCCAGCACCCACAAGGCAGCTAACAACTGTCTGTGACTCCAGTTCCAGGGGATCCAATGCCCTCTTCTGACCCCCTTGGACACTGCATAACACAGGTGCACCTACCTACATGCAGGCAATACACATAAGACAAAAATAATAAAATATTTTTTAAAAACACAACTCAACATATATAGAATGAACTGTGATAATTCACCCTGATTGTTAACTTGATCAACTGAGGTCCTAGGAGATTTGTGAAGTACACTGGATATGCCTGGGAAGGTGTTTCCGGCGGGGGGGGGGGATAACCACTGAGGGAAGACCTACACTGAATGTAGGGAACAGCATTCAATAGACCAGGGGCCACATGACTCGAAAGGGGAAAAAGGACAAAGCATGCCAGCAGAGGCATTCTCTCTGTTTCCAGGCCATCATGAAGGAAAACCTTTGCCATCTGCCCCCTACCGTGATGTTTTGCCTTACCATAGACCCACGTGCAGTGGAGCCGAGTGAGTACAGACTAACCTCCTTGAAACAGTGAGACAAAATAATCTTTCCCTCCATTTCTCTCAGGTGTTTGTCACAGCGATGAAAAGTCTAAGACAGTTGCAGCTGGAATCATCCAGCTCTTAGAAACAATATAATGAACTAGCCCTGACACAGTGAGCTCTCCCTCACTGGCAATATTCAAATAGAAGCTCACTGAACATCAATTTTTCAAGAATGTTCTACCGATGCTGTTGCCTAGGACAAGAGTCATCTCAATGACCTTAACGGCCCCCTTTGGCCTACAAACTTCTGAGTCTATAAAAGAAAGTGAGGATAGAAAACACACTGAATACTTGAGTGTCCCTAAAAATCTACAGGTGCACGTTTGGATGGGCCTGTGTTCTCTGCAAAGAAGGAGACTGTCTCTTGCCACTGTTAAACAGAGACACGGCATGGAAGACACTATGAGCCTTCAGTAGCATCCTCTTTACCTAAAACCCTAGAGAAGACTGAACAGGTTCTCAGCTTCCCCAAGTCCCATTCCAAGCCATCTAGAGTGAAGGCATCAAGATCTCTGTGTGTGTGTCAGGTAGTTCTGAAAGCAGGAAAGGTTGTCTGGCACCTTTGCCTCTTGCTCACACTCAACTTGGTCTTGTGTTGGGGTCAAGAAATGGGTAGCAAGAACTATCAGGAGGATTTCAGCAACTGGGTTGTTGGTGAAAAGGTGGAAGAGAAGAGACGATTTACTTATAAAATGGCCATTTATTCAAAGCAGATCATAGGAAGGAAAGGGGATAGAAAGAGACGCTTACAAGAGCAAAGCATCCCCTCAGCCTTCTGCCCAGCAGTCCCTTCTCAGCTCTGAGTCACGAGCAGACGGGTAGGTCCCACCTCCTGCCCAGGGTTACACAGTGCTGCAAGGTCCATTTCCACCCACAAATTTAAAGTGTTTAGAATGAAATGGCTAAGTGTCTTACCCTTCTCGTTCATCGTCTGTGTTATAATACACCTGCGGAAAAAAACAACAGCCACTGTAGGTCAGGAGCAAGAAGTGGAAGCCTATTACATGCTGCATGGATTATCCTAAGGCATAAACTGTCTCTTCAAAAGACAAAATTGTTAGCAATTCTCCCTTTCTCCCTTTCTCTCTCTCTCTCTCTCTCTCTCTCTCTCTCATATGTAAAGAAACACAAATTTTAGCCTCCTCACCTTCTCTCTAGGGATAATTCTCAAATTTTAATGAAATAAAATTGGAAACCTATTTCTAGCGGAAGTCAGTCTGATCAGATTACTCTTGCCCTCAGCCAAATTCTGACATTAAGAAAATATGTTGACAAGATCTATACCCATTGTTTAGAAAGGCCACATTTGCTCCACAGGTGGGCTGGCCCTGAACACCTTGCTACGGGAAGGGGGAAGGCAAGCGCGCCCATGGCAGGATGGCAGCATCCAGGCCCTGTGTTTTCTCCCCAAAGCGGTCTATATTAGCCTGGCATCCCATCACCCTAGAAAGTTAGGGTTAGCTGTCTTCAGGCTGTCAAAAAGAAGCATTCTAAGCCAAAAGGAAGATCTGTGAAGATAAGTGTTTTTAGGTCAGCACAGTGACAAGCACAATCAGAGCTAAAGAAACTAGGAAGCCTTCTTCTGACTGATGACATGCAGAGAGGTCTGCTGGGTATGTGTAGCCTCTTGACTCTGTTGTTTCTAAAACTTAACTGTGGGCTTTGGGTGTATCTGTGTGCTGCACAGACATTTGTGTTTGGCAGAAAAGAATACCTGGATTAATATCATTCACATATTCTTTTCAAAAGCCACCTTTGAAAAGGCTCCCTCCCTGCAGACATTCTCAGAGGCTCCTGGCAGCTCTAGAGATGCTGCCAAGCCCAGGCCTAGTTGTGTAACAAACCTGGTTACCTGGAATGCTCCAGGGTGAATCACTCTAATGATTAGCTTAGATGTGCATGGCAACTTTTTCCTTTTAGGTTTTTTATGGTTATTGTTATATTAGATTCCGTTTCTTTTTAAACAGAAAGCCATGGATATAAGTAGTGTTTTCAGCACCCCAAGGTCCAGTGTGGCATCCAATGCATCTGTCACTGGAATTTATTAGAAATCGGACTGTCCAGTAGGTACAAATGGAGTGAGTCACAAGAGGAAGGGCCATACCACTGCTCATAAAATGGGGTTGTTTTGAAAAAGCTCTGATAGTGCTTGTTCCTTTATTACATGTGACATCACACATCTATGCTACCCAGATCCCCAGTAAAGAAACAAACAGCTCCCTACAAAGTTGGCTGGTGACACAGCATTCTTTTAAGTGCTCTCCTGCCCTCCTCACAGGCCTCAGTGTGGCTCAGAGTTGCCAGCCCTGCAGTAGTGTGGAGCATGGCTGTTGTTAGCAACACTCACACCACTGCAAGCTCCCCTCTGCTGATGAGAAAGTGGCCTATCTTTTGATCTGTTACTACTGGCTCTCAGTTCACAGGCCACAGGTGGCTAGCCTCTCTCTACTTCATCCTCACTTCTAGATCAGAGTACTGCCTCCTCCTTTATCCCTCAGCATCTAGCTCTTCCCAGAACAAAAAAAAAAGAAAAAAAAAAAAAAAAAGCGCCCAGCTGGCCACTGTTCCCACCTTCTACTAAGCAAAGTGATCAAGCACAGTGCAGTCACCGGCTCTTCAGGACACAGCTGACTATATCTTGGTTGCTGGGAATCCCAGGCAGGCTTTCTTCAGACTCCCTCACTTTGAATGCAGAGGCATAGAGAAGCCCAAGGTGCTTGTGATAGGGGTCTCTGGAGAGCACAACTTAAGGGTACAATGGCCCAGATGGTGCTGATCCACCGAATTGCTTTTCCTAAAGGCCACACTTTCCTCAAAGCCAGTCCTGGGTTGGCAGCACAGCTTATAACACAGAGGGGAGAGTACAGTTGGAGGACTACGAGGGCAGCTGGGCTGGGATACTGTTCCTCTTAGGATTGTTTACAGCTTTGTGTATTTCAGAGAGATCTTGCCAAGGGATCAGGCTCTCAGGAGTGGACATGGCACTGTAGCCAAAATCGTGACAGGAAGCAATACAGTTTAACTCCGTTGTTCCTCCTCTAGAAGGTGTAGAAACATTACTCCATACAAACTATAACTACAAGCCTGGAATTTTTTTTTTTAAGTTTTTTTTTTTTTTTAAAGCCATGTTGGCTGTCCTTTCTAGAAAGGTTACTAAGTTCTCCTCCTGTGTCTTAGTTCATATCAAACAACACAAGATGGAAATGTTAATTCTTAGTGGAAATATGCTCTAAGGAAAAAACTACGAGTGGTTTTATTACATGTTATATCAGGAACAGAAAAAAACAAAACAGAACACCACAGCCCTCCGGTTGTACAGCTGTCTTGTCACCTCATCAAACATTCTCCAGAGATGGAAGGTGAGCCAACCACCATTTCTCTTGTAGACTAAGGTCAGTTACAACAGGGTCTGTACACTCAGAACAGGAAGGAAAACGTGAACACACCAAGCTCCCATTTCTCAAAATAGTCCTTCATCAAAGGACTCTGAATTCAAAAGAAAACCAACCAACACAAAATTTAAAATCCAATTAGTGTGGCAAAAAACAACTCCAAATGATGCTACAGTGTTTTTTTTTTTTCTTTTTTACAGTTTTAATTTATCACATAGAAAAAATAATATTAAAGACAAGGGAAATAAAACATACGTCATCTTATAACAGTAAAAATCTTCCATTAACTAAAACCCCATCAACAATTAGTATATTAATGGCTCTCGGTAAGTGGGTAGTTCTGCTTAACAGATGTTTCTCTTTGTTCCCTCTGAATTCCATGAGACTCTAGGAGCACAGTATAGAATGACATCCTATTTTTTCTTTGCATTGAGCATGCTTATAACTAGTTCCCATGTGGCTATACAGTTTTCATAGGTAAAATTTTAGTGACAGCATAGTATTTCACAAACAGGAGCCATCATAATGAGTTAATTATTGGAATTTATTTGGTTTTAAATCTTTCATTTCACTTGTAGTCATAACCATGATAGGACTTGTTTTTTGTTTCTTTTGTTTTTATTTTTTAAGGGAAGAGCTTATCTACAGTTTCTTTTTTCCCTTCAGGTGAGACAAGAGCTATTCATTTACTAAGGAAAAAAAATTGATGAGAGCATCTTATTTGGTTCAAACAATTTCTTCCCATTGTGCATATAGAGTTACAGATGCAGTTATATTTTCCACCAGTAGGTGGCAATGTAGTGCTCTGGCAAACCCTGCTTGACAAGGCAAAATACAACTCAGGTGATCAATTTCTCCTTCTTCCTCTTTTTTGCCACTTTGTCAACACTTTACCAATAACAGCTCACTCTTTTCTTGACCTTACACTTTACCAATAACAGCTCACTCTTTTCTTGACCTTACTAAGTAACTATCCTGTCCCAAGATAGTCTTTTCTATAAAAATCTACTTTGAGTAGGGAATGATACTGACATCTAGTGGTTGAAATAAATGAGGTAGGTTTTATTTTTGTGGTCTATCCTGCCTACGTGTCAAAGCACCACCAACCCTGTGCAGGGGGGCAGAGGGGTGTGAGTAGGGAGCCATACCTGTCCGGTCCTCTGCAGGTTTGCAAAGTGAACATCTGGAATGAAGAGCACGGGCTGCGAGTGCAAGTCGGGCATGGTTTTGAAGTAGGTGATGTCACTCTTCTTCTGTAAAGGTATGGCGGCCAACTTCCCATCAGAGGCTGGACATGACCACAAAACCCATAAATGATAGGGTTATGCACAACTGAGAACTCCTAGCTATCAGCCCTGTTTTAGCCAAAGTCTATGACTTTCTCTCAAAGTTTTCTCATTACCCTAGATCCCACTGTAGAAGTCCTCCCTTAACCCCAAATAAATAAGACCGTGGACTTCTAGAGAGCACAGAAGGTGGAAGAGGGTCCCTCTACTTCCAGCTGTCCCTGTGTGACCTAGAGTTCTTGTATAAGGAGGATGCTGGTCTCTATGTTACAAAGCCCTGGGGACTTCCAACCCACTGAGCCTTCTGTGATTCTGTTTGCTTTTCATATGCATGATCACCCTGTCTCCATTGCCAGGGAAAAGCAGACCACACCTTGGGCATATGTACTTTTCCCTGCAAGCCACTGCTTCCTACCTGTCCCCTGAAGGGACCCTGCTCACCAGAGTCCCTCCTTTTAGTACAGTCAGCCTCAGGGACACTCACAGTTGTTGCACTGGCTTTGGGAGGCCTGGCCTTTCCCTTTCTTCCTGTTCTGCTTTCTCTCTTCATCTCGGATTTTTCTTTCTGCTCCCTGATAAGGAAAAACAGAGACCAAGCCAGGTATGTTATCAGAGCATGCAAGAATACTGTCTCACACACACCATGCAGATGGGAAACATGAGGAGGAGGAACCCGGGATGACTTCACTCCCCAGTGAGGACACACGTTAGTCTGCACACTGCACTGACCTGTGAGTGATTCCAACTCTCCCAGGTTTCCTCCTTCTTCGGTCTCCTGCTTATTTAAAGAACTTCCGTTTTGAATACATATGGACAGAGGAGACTCAGTTCTCTAACCCAGTGATACCCACTAAGCAACTTTGGTGATAACAGTAAAATGTCCTAAGATGAAGCATTGACTTAGTAAATCCATTCCTAGGTATGGAGAGAACTCTCCGTTGAATTTGACTTCCTATAAAACTTTTTCTTTGCTTGTTGATATGAACACTAAAGCGGGGGGGGGCATTCTTCCCTAAGTTTGTGATCATAAAAAGATGACTTTTGTTTCCCTATCAATATTTTCCTATGTTCTTAGAGATGTTTATCCAACCAAACAGAGAAAAGTTTCATCGAGTCCCCTCCTTCTTGCGCTTCTGTTCTTTGTAATTTAGCTTTTCCATTGGCTCTTCTTGCCAGGTTACTAAGCCTTTCCCTGTCTCACTGGTTGATCACCATCTTAATCTCGCTTTCCCTCAGGGCCTGGAGCGATTCCCTTTGGTCATTTGTTAACCTATTCTCTGGTCTCCAGGTACAGATCCCCTAGCACAACCTCCTTCTGCTTTCTCTCCATTCTGGCTTCAGGAGAACTCATCTGTACCATGTGTTCACAGTGCCCTTGGCAGGTGACATTCATGGGACATCGTAATCTAAGCTTCTTCCCAATGTCTCGGATCCATGTTAACACCCCCTATACCCTATGATAGCTGTTTGAGACTCAGTGCCGCACATAGCAAAGAGCACTTTAACCTGCCTTCAAACCATTATCTGTCCATATGAATTATAACTCACAAGACACACCACAAGGTTAGACAAAACATTTTATTTCATTTTTTTGATAGTCAAATTTTGTTTTGCTTTTAACTATTAATGTCATATAAAGTGACAACCTTATTAGGTTGGATGGATTGCTCCAAAGAAATATTACTTCTAAATTAGAATTTTATTTGTACTAACTCTATGAGAAATAGGCCTGGAATTAATGTTTCAAGAATGACATATGTTGGGGCCTAGAGAGCTGGCTCAGCAGTTAAGAGCACTGGATGTTCTTGCAGAGGACCTGGGTTCAGTTCCCAGTACTTCTATGGTGGCTAAGAACCATCTGTAGCTCCAGTTCCAGGGAATGACACCCTCTGATCTCCATAGGCATTGTACACCCAGGTTCACTTACATACATGCAAGCAAAACACTCATACACACAAAATAAAAATAAATTTTAAAAATTTAAAAAGAATTACATGTTCAATATGGATTTTCAGGAAGTAAAGGTACTTGTTTGTTATTTTCCAGGTACTCTTTAATATGCTAAATTCTAAGAATTAACATGAAGCCTAGAGTGGACCTCTATGGAGCACAGCCTTGGTTCCATGTCTACATAAGGAGCCAAAATGCTCCTTATCGACAGGGCAAAATAGCCACACAATAGCCACACTTGGGAGAGTTGTAGTTCTCATTTCTAAATTAAAGCTTGTGACTTTACAATGATCCAAGTGAAGTGTTCAGCATTCAATAAGGACAAAGACACCTTCCCTCTACCAACATCTGCCAAGAATCACTTTATATCCCAGGAATATTTGTGACTAAAACTTCTAGAAAGCATTATTTCTACACATATTAAAGTGCGTGACCCCCAAAAGTCTATCCCTACCAGAAGAGTGCAACATGCTAAAATTCTACTCCTAAAATTACAGTTAATCCACCTATAGGTTATGAATTTCCTCCTAGTGTGAGTTTCTGACCTGCAGTCCTTAACATGATCAGCATCTGTATCCAGGTCCTCTACTTTCCTACTGCATGACTCGGGTCCAGTTGCTTATGCCTTCTGATCCATATGTATGTATGTACTCACTGTATGCACCGAGTCAGCTGGTCTCTGGTTTCCAGAGGCTGCCTGACTGTCCCTCAGATTTTCAGTGCTACCCTGGGAATAGGGCACTCACTGAAATTGTCATAGGCTGACAGGCTGTTGGGATCCCAAGGACATCCACTATTAGGTTGCATGTCCCTGTACCCCCATGAAATTCAAATTGCTGTGCTTTCCTTCTCCTGTTTTCTTGACCATTTCTTCTCTCTGCTGTCTGCTGTCAGCCCACAGGAGCCCATGTCTCCCTGTGCTGTATCTTTGCTAAGCCAAGCATTTTAATACAACAGACTGCATTACCTTTAAGGGTGAAGGGCAACATGGAATTAGCTACTAGCCAGTTTTTCCTTTCTCTCTCCCAATCATCTAATCTGAAGTAGTCACCAGCTAAATCCTATAAGCAAGTAGCAAAATTTGTTTCATCTTTAGCCCCTAACTCTGTGTGTGTGTGTGTGTATTATGCAAGTAGGTGAGTATGTGGGTGTATACCCCTATACATGTGCATACGGAGGCAAGAGGAGGCCATAGGTATCTTTCTCCATTATTTTCTGCCTGATTACCTTGAGATAGGGCCCTCACTGAACCAGAGGCTTGCCATTCAGGCTGGCTGTCCATCCTCAACCCAGTCTTACACACTGTCCTCAGAGGCCCCATTCAGGCTGGCTGACCAGTGAGCTCAAGACTCACCTGTCTCTGCCCCCGTTGCTAAAGTTTCAGGCGCATGCAGCCATTCCCATGCCTGGCTTTTTACATGGGTTCTGGGAATTCAAACTCAAGTCTTCATACTTGTACAAGTGCTCTACGCACTGAACTATCTCCCCAGCTCCTCTCTAACTCTTAAATAATTATATGATGTCTACATTGCCAAGGCCACATGTTCTCTCCAACCATTCATAGTCAGTGTGTACTTAGTGCTTACTGCCAGTGCTTTTATCAATATTTTTATACCTGTCTCAAGTTTATTTTCTACTATATTTCTAAAGAAAGAATATTTACTGAATTTGGGGTATCTCATTGTTGTTTATGTTTTATTTGAGCTTTGTGGTTGTCTGTAGTCTTCACACCTCAAAACTAATTTGGCTAGAAATAAAATCCTTGACCACATTTACTTTGAGTAAATATTTTTCCTGCCATAATGTTAATATCAAAAATTTTGTTGATAAAAATTTTGTCATTAGTTTCTAATTGCTTGTTTTATTTTCTTTATTTAGATGCCCAGAGAATAATTTTCTTTCTTTTAAAAGTGCAATAGCTTAAATATTTCATATTGATCTTCCTAGTCAGTTTCTCCCAGTATGTGGTAGCTACTTAAGCATGTGGTTTCATGTCAAAGCACTGTGTCAGACTGCCCTGGTTTGTCAGTTTAGCATTTGTTCTATCCCATTGATTTGGGTTCTTTTGCTCCAAGACCATTGTTGCATAAATATTGAATCATCTCAGGGACTCTTTCTTAACTTTCTTCCCATTTTAAAAATTGTGCTATTTTCCAACTTGTATCTTCTTATGATTTATTTGTCACATTCAGCCAAGTTTGCTTCTAGAATAGTCTTCTGAAACAGTTTAATCTTTTATTTCTAAATTCTTTCCTGGGTTCTAACACATTTCTTTTCAAAACACTCTCTTGTCAAAGCAGCTCATGTGAGCTGTCCAAGCTATGACCATGTTGGACATGGTGAGCGACCTCTGCTGTTCTCTTGGTTTCGCTGAGCTCATAGACCAGCTATGGTTTCACTGCTGTGTGCTGATGTCTTTATGATGTTCATTTATTGTCCATAGGGAAGTTGGTCTGATCTAATCTCTTTTTTAATGAGCTGTTTCGGGCGGTTGGATTTCTTTAGGTTGTTTTGAGGTGAATATAGGTCAGGATAGTCCCTCCAGCTTTGTGGCTTCCACGCTCCCTCTTCTGGTATGTTCACCAGCACTATAGCACTCTTGTATTTTCTCATACTACCTACTCTGCATCCCTTCCATCCCCATTTCCATCTCCATCTTCCCTAGGCCTCTTTCCTAGCAACCTTTCTCTCCACTCCAGCTCAACTTGACCCTACTCGCAACAGTTTCACAGCAAGGTTTTGTCCTGGAAGAAAACTTTAGTATCTATCTCCTCATGGAGAGAAAACACTGCAGTGTTCCCATCGCCTGCACCCTAGCAAACGGGGGTGTGCAGAGCCTAATCCTCAACCCGGTCTCACACACTGTCCTCAGAGATCCTCTATGCTTCCCAGTCAGTGCCTTGGGCAGTTTGCTCTGTGGTCATCAGTGGCCCCATTACTTTCCCTGACTGAGGCTGATAACACACAGGACTTGAAATGACCAGTGCTAAGCCCCACTCGTACTTAGAGTCACCTGATCATTGGAGTTTAAATTCTGTGATTCTGATTGCTCTGCAGGAATCTGGGCAATTAAAAGCACTGTGTACTGAGTGCCCAAGTACTAAGGAATTTATTTTACAGACGCAATTTCTATTCTAAAAAAATTCTTGGTAAAGTCCCATTTAACCCATCAAATAGCAAAGGTTCTACTGACATGTTCTGGGTTAGTGTCTATACCCACTATAACTATTGATCTGTTATTTCAGCTGTATATTCAGGCCATAGCACAGTATGCTATGAACTGACTGCAAGCTCCCCCATCACCCACAAATACACATGAAGTGACACCTTTATTATAGACCAGGTCATGAGGCTGAGCCCTGATGATATGACAGTGTCTTTATAAAAAGAAACACAGGAGAATCTTCTCTTTCTCCATCATATGTGGATATGATAAGAAGATGGCTGGCTATAAGCCAAAAGGCAACCCCTCAAGGGGGATGGAACTGGCTGGCACCTTGATCTTAGACTTCTAGCCTTCAGAACTGTAAAAAACTAAGTTTCTACTGCTTAGTCAACCCAGCTTTGTGGTGTTTTGTTTTAGCAGCCTGAGTAAACTAAAATATAGGACAATGTCACTCATTAAATCAGTGGTAAAAGTGATCAGCTGCAAACAACAGTGAAAACTAAGCACAGCTGACTGCAGGGACTGAGCACAAAGGACTGTCACTCTTAACAGGCTGACCAGGCTCCAGGGGATGAACCCACACCGAAGGGCATTTAGGAACAGAAACCTGACTCTATAGGCGTGCGCGCGCACACACACACACACACACACACACACACACACACACAAGTACTGAAATTTGGTGTTGGGGGAAGGTGACAAGGGGGAAGGTGTTTGGTGGAAAGGGGGAGGTGAAGATATGGGAGGGGCTCTAAGTTTGATCAAAATATATTGTATGAAATTTACAAAAAAAAATTAAAAATAAATTTTTAAAAAAGACTATTGCTCCCACTATATGACTAGTGAATGATTCTTTTGACCACTAGACAATAAAAGATGACATGGGAGAAATGTCATTAGAAATAATATCTAATTATAACAAAAGTGTCTTAATGACAAACTGTCATCTTAACTCACCTTGTCACAGAAGACCTTGATCTGGCAATACGCTCTGTGAATGGGTTTATTGCTGCGATTATTATAACTGTATGTATCAATCTGAATCATCAAAGGAAGTCCTTTCACACCCTTTTGGGAGGAGAAATCTGTACTCAAGCAGTTCACAGTGATGAAAATCTGAAGGAGGGAGAAAGAATAAAGTTGACAAGTCACCATGCACAAGATCTCCAGACAAAGACATGAGCCGAGACTTGAGTGAAAATACTTCACAAACTTAGAAGGACAAGTGACAAATATTCAATACTCTCACATAAAAACCTGCTGAGTGCACAAAGCATATCATTTATAATTATAAACTAAACAGTTTTCTTGAAACAGACTACTTAAATTACTTTCTATAAAGTATATCAGCAAAGTCTTACTCTCTAAAACGTGTAAATGGGTTAAGTGAAGCAGTATCTGCTCAATGTACTGAAATTGTTACTTCTAATAGATATAATTTTCCCTATTCTCTGACCCATGAGATAAAAATTTTAAAAGTCATCCCTAAACACATGTACACACAAGTACCACTAAATAAACTAGTACATTTTACACACACACACACACACACACACACACACACACACACACACGTGTATGTATAAACAATGATAGAAGAAGAGGCCAGGAAATTGAGAGGAAGTGAAGGGGGTTGTGGGATGGGTTGGAGAGGGCAGAGGAAGAGGTGGAAATTGTGTGGTTACAGTATTCCTATGTGAGGCTCTCAGAAGAATAATTATGGACAAGAGAAAAAGTAAAAATAAAAATAAATTATACCTTCCTTTAAACACATGACATTGAAACCTAGTTGTGTTTATGTAAAACTTTCTTCCTGACTCTGAAGAATGAGGTTTGAAGTACTTTAATATTTCTTGGTACTTTAGTATTACTGGTACCTAGAACAGTGCCTAGCACTAGACAAACGGACCAATGACTTGATCTTGAGAAAGCCCAATAGGTTGGGAGTCAAAGGCTCCAATTTTGGCCCTAGCTTTAGTGTTAACCAACTAAGAGACCTTATACAAGTCACTTAATATCTTCAGCTTTCAATTTTCCTCCCTGCAGAATAAAATCCAAATACTAATATATTTCCATGTTAGTAAAAAGTAAAAGAGGCGCTGGCAAAGGTAAGATATGAAACAGGAAGGATTCAGTGTAGTCACAGAATCAACATCCTCATCTTAGCTGCAAGTGGTGGCTGGGGGGATTAGACCTGTAATCCCAGCACTTGGGAGGCTAGGAGAATCATGAGATCCAGACCAACCGGCTCAGGAAACATAGGGAGACTCTACCAGAAGGAAGGAAAGAAGGGAGGGAGGGAGGGAGGGAGAGAGGGAGGGAAGGAAGGAAGGAAAGAAGGAAGGAAGGAAGGAAGGAAGGAAGGGAGGGAGGGAGGAAGGAAGGAAGGCAAGATCCTTATAGTATGTGACATCAAGAAATAAAATAGAAAAAAATTTAAATAATCCAAACAAAAGAATACAATAGAAATGACACAAATTCAACATAGTAGAAACCCAAGTCAATTATTAGGATCCCATTTGACAAAGAGAACAATCAAAAGGCATCATTGTAAAAGACTGGCAGAATAGAACAGTGTGAATGAGCTGACCTGACTCTCATCTCACAAAGTAGGTGCAGTCAACAGATGTCATTGGCTATGGTTTGGACCTTCAATTTCTCCCAAAGATTCTTGTCTTGGCATTATTTGGAGAAGCTGTGTAACCTTTACTTCCTAGCTCCTGGAACTAGGTCTCTAGGGGCAAGCCTTTGAAGGTTATACCCAGCCCTAGTTCTTAGCATGCTCTTGCTCTACTTCCTGGTCTACCTGATGTGAACAGCCCCTGCCACATACTCCTGCTACCATGATGGGAGCTGCTCCACTATGCTTCCCTGCTAGGACTGAAACCTTCTGAAAATGTGAGTCCCCAAACCCTTTCTTCCAAAAGCTGTTTCTGTCAGGTGTTCTAGTCACAGTGCTGTGAAAGCAACTGATATAGCATTTAAAGATGATCTATTGTGAAGTGATGCATAAAAGGAGCACCCAGATTGAAAAGGTAAGTGACTGACAAGAAGTGATCACCAGAGAACCAGGCACTTGTGTGTGTGTGTGTGTGTGTGTGTGTGTGTGTGTACGTGTGTATCACTATTTTCATTTGACACATGACTTTTAATATAAAAATTTAAATCACTCATTGTAAAATTATATTTTCATCAAAGCCATCTCTAAAAACGTATAATTCAACTCTTATTTGTCTCTTGAGTTTTTGGTATAGTTTTAAACCCCAGACCTAAAGCCTTTTGTGCCACTGTGAAAGTATATACAGTAGCCCTGCAGGTAGTGAAGGTCACTGTTATTTTTTGTTTTTAAAATTTATTTCTGCCAGGGGTGGTAGTGCATACCTTTAATCCCAGCACTTGGGAGGCAGAGGCAGGTGATCTCTGTGAGTTCCAGGCCAGCTGGGGCTACAGAAAGACCCTGTCTCAAAAAGATCCCCCCCAAAAAAGAAAAAAGATTTATTTCTATTATTTTTAAATTATTTATATATGTATGTGTCCATGTGTATGTCCACATATGAGTGCAGGTGCCCATGGAATTCAGAGGAGGGCTTCAGATGCCCTGCAGTTGTAGTTACAAGAGGTTGTGAGCAGCAGATATGGGTGCTGGAAACTGAACCCTGGTCCTCTGCAAGAGCAGTACATGCTCTTTAACTGTTAAGCCATCTCTTCAGTCCCTGAACTCTGTTTTAAAGGCCTTAAGATTTCTTTTATTTAACAACCAGGTCTGATCTAATTCATTTTAAGCCCTATAGGTTTTTGGTAATTTAGACAACCAGGCATCTAATTTCTAGTGCTGTTTCTCTGTAAGCATCATTTCCTTTCATCCGTGAGCTCCTCCTTATAATGTGAGATGTATTAGTGAGGCACCAATCAGTAGCATCAAGGAAAGTGGACAGGTTTCAGTGATGTATTAATTACAACCTTGTTTATTGTGTCACAGTTTCTCAACTTCCCAGCCACCATGCAAAATCAAATGCCTAAAGATGATCTAACTATGTGAAAAAGTCTAAAGTGTAGTGTGAGGACTACAAGTAATAAAACTTTGCTATATGTGGGATTTGTGGGAAATAAAAATTTCCCCTGTATGGGTGGTTGGTTTTAAGACAGGGTTCCACTCTGTGGCCCAGGCTTATCTGGAACTCACTATTTAGGCCAAGCTGGTCTTAAGCATGTGGTGATCCACCTATTTCAGTCTCCCTGATGCAGGAATTACAGAATGAGTTGCCAGTAACACTTAGCTGGAATGAATAAATTTGAGATACTTTACACAGTACATGCACATGCACACACAGAAAAGGATAACTATAAAAGGTGATAGAAGTGTTACTTTCCCTAAGTTACTACCTATATGATCTTATAATATGTTGTATGGTTTAAATGTACATAACAAGATATTTGTAAAAGAAGGTCTATGAACATATTCACTCATTTGTTCCTTTCATTAATTGATTCAGTCTATAAACATTCATGGAAGCCCACAATAGATCACACAGTGTTAGGCACTTTAGAGATAAAAGCCAACTTTGCCTTATAGAACTGACAATCCCAGGGAAAGGCAGATGAGCAATCTGAAAATGACCATCATACACTGGGTTTAAGGTTGCCTAGAAAAGAGGTACAAAGGGACCCCAAGACACAGAAAAGAGGCCTTAGCCTGGGGGATACTAGTGAAATATAAACCTCACAGATTCTGGGTTTATGCAGAGACCTCATACATTCTAAGGAATGGAAAAGAAAATGAGAGCAACTGAAGATGCAAATGTCTATTGATTCAGAACTGAGTGATGGGGACTACTGAGGAAAACCAGGCCAGGTAGGATACTTTGACAGAACTACCCAACTCCCCAGGGACGAGCATCTTGCCCTCAACAGTCACAATTAACAAAAAATGCTACCTCTAGCCTTGGATATTGCCAAATGGCAGGAAAGTTTTATTTAATGCTCGTTCATGCAGCAAATGTTTTTAAATGCCTCCCAAGTCCCCGAGGCTGTGTTAGCACAAATGTACTAGTTATAATTCCTGCAACCACAGAAGACAGAGGTGAGATGGGGTGAGAGATAATATGATGGTGCTTTAAAGATTACAATAGCTTCATTGACCACTGATCTGTGGGTCAGGGAAAAGGTGTCCTTTTCTAGGAACACTTGACTTCTTTTATTATTATTACTGACAATAGGGTGATTTAAGCCAGAATGCATAGACACAGTTTTGTGTCAGCAAATCGAATGTTCGCTCTGTCTAGCTATACAGCTGTACATAATGCTAGCCATGTTTCATTTGTAATCCATACGTACCTCAAACCTGACTGTTTTTTTCCCACTCCCTCAAAAAGTCTGCCTGGTAATACATAAGCCAGTGTTCTGATGGATATTTTCTGGACATTTCATAGCTGGTGCACTGATTTAAACATACATCATTCACCGTGGATATATATGGTAGGTAGGAAGTAATACTAATTGTGGGTCTGTCAGTTCCAAGTCTGTATTAAGAGAGGTATGGTGATGGAACATGACTATGGTCCTCAAGGACCACTTAAGTAGCCTGGTCAACTAAAGACACTGAAATAACAATTACTCACTGGCAATATACTAGAATAAATAGACTAAATCCTCCTTGGAAGAGCTATAAAAAGCAGTCACCCAATACAGAAGGTCCTTAAAAGCCAAAGAATGAGTACCACACACTAGACTCCACTGGGAGACACAGACCCAGTGCTCTTGATAGAGAAAGGTCCTCAGAAGATCCACTGGCTCTGGTTCAAGGCATCCTGATTCCATCAAAGGTAAATCTCACAAGAATCTGCCTTCTCTGAGCACTGTGTAGGCAGCTCCCAGCATTTCCCTAGCAGGCAGGATGCTATGCTGGGGTCAGCTTCCCTGTCACCTGGCTGCCTAACACCATGGAAAGCAGAGTATCAGTGCCTGATGGCATCAAGTGTGGCCTGGCTGTGCTCCACTCAAAATGCAAATGGTTGAATTTTAACTGCATGGGGTGGGGAGGGTGGGAAGGCATGGAAGGATGTTAACTAAAACCTTGTTCTAGAAACTGATAAGCATTCATTTGTTTCATCTTGCAA